TATATATATATATATATATATATATATATATATATATATATATATATATATATATATATGGTTTTATAACAGAAACTAGATAGATGAGTTTGACACATATTTGGACTATCATTACATTGAGTGTACAGGCAGTTTGAAATGGCTACATTAGGGACAGATAAAAATGTATTAAATTTTGTACTTTCTCAGCTAAATTTTTTTTTTGCATTGATATGTGTGAATGTACACTCTGCTGGAAGTGAAAGGCACTGCGCTCTTGATTTCACTCCATTTTGGATGATGTCAACAAATGCAGATTTTACAGAATTCTTCTTCAGGCCAGATTAACGGCAGGTTCATTTTCTAACAGACCTCAGTAACCATATTTTTCATATGGCCCCTTGAATCTATTACCTTGAATATATTTCCACATTGCAGATTGTAGAAGTATAATTGACATTTTTTTACGATGCCCATTCATCATTCTATCTTACAAGCACTTTTCAGGGTTGTACTGGGTGGGTGAGGGGGTAGGGGGCATGGGGGGACGTCCTCAATGACATGCCAGCAGAGGGCATACAGTATATATGCACATACACATATAACTGTGATTTACAATTGGCATTTCTAAATAGGTTCTAACTAAATTCAAGGTTATTGTCACCTATACTTAGTGGTCATCAACTGGATTATATTACATTCTCATATCCACATACATTTGAAGATTATATATATATAAACATGCATACACATGTTTATATCCTTTATCTGAGTAGGATCAACACAAAAACAGAGAAAAAAGAAAAAAGCCAAATTTGACATAATTTCACACAGAACTCCAAAAATGGGCCGAACAAAATTATTGGCACCTTTTCAAAATTGTGGGTAAATCGCTTTATTTCAAGCATATGATGTTCGTTTGTACTCACCTGTGGCAAGAAACAGTTGCCGGCAATATAGCAAACACACCTGAAGCCAGTTAAATTGGAGAAAAGTTGACTCAGCCTTTCTGTTGTGTCTGTGTGTGCCACACTAAGCATGGAGAACAGAAAGAAGAGCAGAGAATTGTCTGAGGACTTGAGAACAAAAATTCTGGAAAAATTTCAACAATCTCAAGACTATAAGTCCATCTCCAGAGATCTTCATGTTCCTTTGTCCACTGTGTGTAATTAAGACGTTCTCAACACATGGCACTGTAGCTAATATCCCTGGACGTGGACGGAAGTACAAAATTGATAAAAGGCTGCAACGAAGGATAGTCCGAATGGTGGATTAACAGTCTCAATCAACTTCTAAACAAACTCAAGCTGTTCTGCAGACTCAGGGTGCAACAGTGTCAGCTTGAACTATCCGTCGACATCTGAGCGAAATGAAACGCTATGGCAGGAGACCCAGGTGGACCCCACTGCTGACACAGAAACATAAAAAAGCCAGACTGCAGTTTGCCAGAATGTACTTGAGGAAGCCAAAATCCTTCTGGGTGTACGTCTTGTGGACAGATGAGACCAAGGTAGAGCTTTTTGGTAAAGCTCATCAATCTACTGTTTACAGAAAACGGAATGAGGCCTACAAAGAAAAGAACACGGAACCTACAATCAAACATAGTGGAGGTTCTAAGATGTTTTGGGGATGTTTTGCTGCCTCTGGCACTTGATGCCTTGACTGTGTGCAAGGCATCATGAAATCTGAAGACTACCAAAAGATTTTGGGGTGCAATGTAGGGCCCAGTGTCAGAAAGCTGGGTCTGCGTCAGAGGTCATGGGTGTCCCAGCAGGACAATGACCCCAAACATACCTCTAAAAGCACCCAGAAATGGTTGAAGACAAAGTGCTGGAGAGTTCTGGAGTGGCCAGCAATGAGTCCGGATCTAAATCCGATTGAACACTTACGGAGAGATCTCAAAGTTGCTGGTGGGAGAAGGCACCCTTCAAATCCGAGAGACCTTGAGCAGTTTGCAAAAGAAGAGTGGTCAAAAATTCCAGTTGAGCGGTGTAACGAGCTTGTTGATGGTTATAGGAAGCGATTGATTTCAGTTGTTTTTTCCAAAGGGCATGCAACCAAATATTAAGTTGAGGGTGCCGATTATTTTGTCCAGCCCAGTTTTTGAGTTTCGTGTGAAATTATGTCAAATTTAGCTTTTTTTTCGCCTCTTTTTTTGTGTTGTTCCAATGCACATAAAGGAAATAAACATGTGTATACCAAAACACTTGTAATTGTAGCAATTTCCTGGGAGAAATGGTGCATTTTCTGGAAGAATTCCAGGGGTGCCAATAATTTCGGCCACGACTGCGTACATATATATATATTTTTTTTACCTGTATTTACCCACATCACTTAAATATCACGTTTTATGCAGCTGAATATTTTATCCTGAAGTAATTCAGGTTAAATATCTTGCTGGAGAGTAATTACTACTTGATTTGGCTGTCTTCACTTCATGGCTCATTGCTGTATCAATGCTTTAGCCTAAACTGGGGACGCGCTCCCACGTTTATGAGAATGCAACACTGCCCCCTTAAGGATCAGGGAGACAATGCAAATCCGAGCGAACAGGAAGGGGGCGTGTACCTTGGCTTTTACAGACATATACGGAGTTACGGACTGCTGCTCAGTACGTCGCTTGGCCTGAAAATGCGTTTTTTTCTCTACAGTGATGACTTTAGGAAGATGTATGAGGTTTAATTTCATTATCCAAGTGGATGTGAGATTAATGTGGCCTGTAAAGCTTTGTGATCAAGAATATTATTCCGAGCAAAAACAAGACAAACAAAGGTGGAAAAGGGACAAACTGTTGAATTTATTTAATGTGTTAATAGCAGGAACTTGTGTCAGGGTGTTGCTTGGAAGGTGACTGACAAAGGAATAGATTAAAATGATCCAAATCATCCAATCCCATCAGATAAAATGAATAGAAACAATGTTAATGGCAGAGAAAGCAAAATAAAATAGCCCATTGCAGACATATAGCCATATAGTAAGATAATGGGTTTAGCCTCCCAGCCCCCGCAATCTTTTGTTACCGATCAGGCACGTGGCCAGTTAGTAAAATGACCAGTGAACCCCCTCAAAATTTGTCTCACCCCCTGGTTGGCAAAAATTTACCAAGCCCCCTCTCACCGGTCATCAAAATCTATTGAGAGGGTATTTTAAAAGCCTGTTAAAAACTGCACTGTTCTCTACCACCTATCTTTAAACTTATGGAACCCATAAGTCCTGGGTAAATTATTATTATTATTATTTTTTCCCCCCTACACAGTTTTGTTTTTTGAATTTCTTTCTTTCTATTTATTATATTCTGCCATATATTATTGCTTTTAAATGTATTTATTTATTTTTATATTGTATTATACTTCCTGCTTTGCCTTGCTTTGTAAAGCACATTGAATGACCTCTTGTGTATGATAATGTGCTATATTAATAAACTTGCTTGCTATTACTGGTTGGTATTATAAGGTTGCCCATCTTCTGGGCCAACCTTAGCAAAACCAATGGATTTTTAATTTCCTAACTGTGCGACACAAATGGCTGCAGTCTGTAAATCTGAACCATGGCAATGTAAGGTCCGCTGGAGAAACTGGCGCTGATACAGGGTTGTACTTGTGTCCCACGGCGAGTGAAGGCACCTCATTAGGTCTGTTATGTGGCTCTGAGTGCAGCACTGACGCATGGAGAGCATTGTGCCTTTTATCTACTTCCCTCCTCTTAACGGGAGATTTACCCGTTTAATCACACAATATATGCATGTTTTCTGTTTGTTGATCTCTTCTTATTCATTTCCTTAATTACTGTGTTTAACGACAGTTAAGTGTAAAATACTGGTATGGTGCCATACGTTTGTTATAACGTTACAGTTTACCGCGGAAGTATACATAGTAGAAATGGAAGAATTAAATCATCATATGTTACACTTTAAATATTGTATGAATGTGGAAATTTTAATCAGCCGTATCATGAAAATAACAATGGCACTTCTAAAAGCATACTAATACATAGATCTCGTATTAATGCAAACATACTGAAAGCTTTTAAAGGTGTTAAACATAGAGAAGCTACAGTCGCTTAGCAGCTATTTTTCGCAATAAGAAATGATATGATGGATACTGATTCTACCATATACCAGGAGCAAGTTATTTGTTAGCTATTCCCAAAAAGGAAATTGAAAAATATAAAAATAAAAACAACATCTTTTAAAAAATGAAAAACTACCAATTATTTTTAGAGTGAAGAAAAATATATTATATTTACATATATATTTTTATTTAAAAAATCTACATAGGTGTACATTATCATATTCAGGTAGGGAATTAAATCATCAATAGAAGCTGAAGTAAGGAGTAGGTAAATTCTTGGTTGGCCAGTTAGCCCAGTGGTCCATTTCTGCTGGGATCCTTTGGCCATATCACGGGGTCATGGTGGAAAGATAGCTCCTCCTTGCAGAGGAACTGAAGCCTAGCTGTGTGATCTGTTCCCATGGGAGTTATGATGCTTTTCTTGCTGTAACTGAGCCCATCTTTAAGGTCCCTTTCATAGTCAAAGGCCTGGCTTTTTAGGTTCTCTGGACCTACTTCTTTCACTCTGTCCTTGGTGGTGGCTTCTTCGGCAGGGCACGGGAGCACGGAGCTGTCGCGAAACGATCTCAGCATTTTTTCTTGGGCTTGTTTGACTTCTTGATAACAATCATTGCTGTTAACCCGCTCCTGCTCCTCTAGCTTAAGGGCTACAGATGAATCTACGTTTAACTCCCAAGCCTCTTGTTTCGGAGCTCGCTTTACTCCGGGTATAGGGCATGTAGTCCTTGGTGGTGACTTGCTGTAACCATCTCCCACCTCAGCTTTAATTAAGTGCCGTTTTTGGTGTATACTCAGAGCAATGGTCGTTTTGCAGATTTTGGGGCAGTAGTAGCAGCTGTAGCCCTTGCTGTGTTTTTCTATATGCTTTTTCTCATGGCTCCTCTTGGTGGCAAGATACAGGAAGCGCTGAGGACAGAAGGCACAGCGATATCGCTTTTCCGTGCTCACAGCCCTGGTGGTATTCTCGAAGCAGGAACCGTTCTCCACACAGGATTTGCAGACGAGGTCCTTGTCTTCTTCGGGGCCATCAAAACTGTCCCTAGAGGTGCACAGCTTACCACAGACCCGTGGCCTTATGCTACCAGGTTCTCCTGAAAACATTTGGCACAGAGTCTGTGCCCTGCATAGGGCAGGCATGCCGTCTGTGATGATGCACAGCTTACCACAGACCCGGCAGAAACAGGGGCGACAAGAAATCACATGTGTCTGCAGCGAGGACAAGGTGAAAAACATAGCATTGCAGGTGTCACAAGTATAAGTCATCTTGTCACCACTGTTCTTCAACTGGCTTCTAGTCTCTGCTTTGTCTGATGAGATTGTGTCATTTAGGCTGTAGCCCATATCCACGCAGCCCCCCCGAGTATTGGGTTCTAGGACCTTCATGTCTTCCTTCACATGTCTGCCTAGCTGTCTGCTATGACTCCGTCTCCTCTTGCATCTCAACTTCTTTGGTTTTTTCTTAGGTTTGTAGGAATAGTATGGACGCCAAAGTTGGTCTGCCGTGTCATGGTCAGTGGCATCATCATATGCTTCTGTTTCTGCAAGTGAGGCGACCTCAGTTCTTAGACGTAGGTCTGGGCAATGGCCACTCCTTTCTAAGTTGTTGTTCAGGTCTTCCTTGTCCACTTGACAATGGCTCTTCTTCCTTCTTCTTGAAAAAAGCTTAGAACCCCTTATTCTCCGGCGGACGAGGGCCTCTTCACCAATCTTTACTGTGATCTGGCAGAGAGGAAGAACCCGACTGTCCTCTGATGGTCCTGGACATGCAGGCTTGGCAATGTAAGTTTCAGTTTTCCTCTGATCCCTCCCAAGAAGATAATTAGCCATAGCTTCAGTATGATGGGGAGCACCAGTAAGGGCCTCCAGCGGATTCTCTAAGTTAAGAGATCTATCATGGCTTTGATCTAGGAAGGGCTTGTCATTTTGGAAAGTCTTCAGTGCTGCTGGGGAATTATCATTGCCTTGCCTAATCACAGAAGAAACTTTATTAGCTGGATTTGAAGCAAGGGAAGGCATGCAACCATATCTGATGACTGATGGGCCACTGTTGTCATCATAAGTGAAGTTGGTGCACACCTCCTTCATGGAAGACACTGAAGGCCTTGGTCTCAGTGAAGGTACTCCTTCGGAAGACAAGGGCTGAACTACATCCTGGTCACATGGCTGATCAAAGGTAATGTGGGGAGTCACAGATGCGATCACTTTAGGTGTTGCCATGAATGTTACAGGCATATTGAACAAAGAATCACTCGAACAGACATTTGTGCCGGTCTCGTCAAAAGAGACTGTGGGTGAGCTGCAGCCCAGGGAGAAGGTCTTGTTGGGGGATTCCTCAGGGAAGGTTTGACTGTACGTGTACCGCCTCTTTCGAAACGTCATCGGTAGAAGCCTGTAGAGCTTAATGGGATAAATGCTGCCCTTGAGACTACCGTTAGCCGATTTCCTGTTGACGACCATCCTGGGGTCAATCCCGTGGTAGGATTTCTGATGGTTCTTCAGGATGTAGTAGGTCATGAAGGTATCCAGACAGAAGATGCACTGATAGCGGCGTTCCCCTGTGTGCCAGACCTCGTGCTTGGTGCGGTACTCGGCCAGGGCAAACACTTTGTCACAGTAGTGACACGGGTATGCCCTGTGCCAGGAGTGCACGTTCTCGTGTCTCCTCAGGCTGGACAGGGTCACATAGGCCCGTTTACATACACCACATGTGTACACTCTCTTGTCTTTCACCTTCCTGGTTCTTCCATCCACCTCCTGCGGTTCCTCAGTCAACCCCTTGGGAGTCGAGAGGTCGTTTGAGCAGAGAGATGGCTGCAGTGAGATCTCCCTCTCAGGTGTACTTCGTTCATCGCCGGCAGAAGATCTATCGCCGTCCTCCGTGCCCCTGAGGTCACATTCGGTTTCAGTCGTCTGGGCTTTGTTGCACACCTGCTCATGGGTACGCAGTCGTTTCAGGTGCATGAATTTTCTGCAACAGAACTTGCAGAACAAATGCCTTGCAAACCTCTTCTTGGGGATTTGTGAGTGTCTGCTGGGAGTTGCTCTGCTGCTGGGTGTCTCTGGGAAGGAATCGCAGCGGGAGGACAGCAGTGATGGACACGGAGGGCTTGTCACTCGTGCTGAGGCAGGCTCGCTCACAGGTAGCTCTGTTGTGCTGCTTACCTGATCGTTGGTATCTGAGGATGTGGATGTCAGTGTGGATGCTGCAGTGGTAGCCATAGCAGCGGTTGAAATCTGGCAGTCACTGCTGGCCAGCACAGGAGTGCCAAGGGCGAGTGTGGCAGGCCTGTGTCGTTTCTTTAGTGGACCTGAGCTCTGGTATATTTGTGATTTGGGCAGTGCCAGAGACGGAGCCACGGCTTCCTTTTCACCTCCCTGGCTCACGGCGTATGAGTGTTCGGAGAGATTGTGCACAGGCTCGCAAAATGCGGGGGTGGAGTTTTGGGTGAGGAGGAGGCCTGGCTCGACGGGTCGTCTCCCCTCACCCCGCAGGCCTAAGGGGGCTCCAGCCTCTGTTATGGAGAAAGCGTTGGTGATCCGGGGACCGCTGGCACTTTCTACCTCTTCGGCCCGGGCCGTCTCGTTCTTCAGCAGTTGAGGACTGATGGACGTAGGGGTATTGCTTGGACTGACTGTTTTGATTGGCTGCTGGGTTTGGCAGGAGGGCACACCGGGGCCTCGCTTCTCATGTTCCACCATGTTCTCCAGAAAGGGGATGCCAAGCCTTTTCCCTGCGGCCACCAGCAGCCTGGTATCCTCAACACCCGTAGGAGCCACTTTGGAGCTGTAGATGAAGTTAAGGATGCTGGCAAAAACCTCAGACCTGAGATCCACCAGCTCCAGCACCTGGCTCAATGAGCCAGGCTCGGGAGTGGAGAAGGTGCTCCGGAAGTATCCGCTTGAGGCGGCCAGGACATTGCGGTGAGCCTTGAATTTGATGTCCTCGACCACGATGGTTACATCGCAGAACAAGCCGCTTGTGCGCTGCTCGTTCAGCGAGCTGAGAATTGCGTGGGCGTGGACACTGTCCATCAGGCCTTTGGTGTTGGCCGACACCACTGTCATCTGCAGGGAGGACAGCACAAGCTGTGTTAGTAAGAATGCTGCACATCAGAAAGAGGAAGTAATGTTTATGTACGTTGTGTAGGTAACTGGTTAAAACAACACTTTACACAATGTCTAGGAACATCACAAAGTGCAGTTCAGCTACCAATCACTGTACATATATATTGTTATAATTAGTTGTAATTAACTGTAGGTATAATTATAGTTTAATAGGGCTTTCTAGCATTTAACAACTGAACATTGTTGATTTTAATGTGTTTTTTTAATGCATTGATCTCCTTATTCTTATATTCTGATAATTTTTGTCCCCCTCTTGTGGATAAACATTGACATTAAACCACAATTTTATCACACACACACACACACACACACACACACACCTGAAAGCTAGTTTCTTTCCGTGATATCGTTTGTGAGTACACACACGGCCCCTAAAGACACTTTTTTGTCTGTGATTCTCTCTATACATGAATACACGCACAGCCTACATGGAAGGGCCTGTTCTATTTGGGCAAGTTTGTTTATGTAAAGGTAAATATCTGTGTAATGCTGTGAATTTACATGAATACCCATAAATATTTGCACATTTGCTTACGGTAACATGCGTTCGCTTGTGCATTTCCCATTAGTGCATCACAGTAAGCAAGCAGACATTTTAAAAAGTCTGTTTCCTGTGTCTCGCTTATGGTGAAAAATGCAACTGAGTCCTGCCTGATTCACGACCTATGTATGCGAATATAATATTTTCTAGTGTGTTTACTATTCGGTAATAGTAAGGCAAGTCACGTTTTGCACGAAAACAGGCGTCTCGTGATGGCTAACGACATGGTCTTGGCCATGAGACGCAACCGCGGCTCTTAGCGGAACCACTCCGGAACGGTAAACCCAAGCAGCCTCCATAAATACGCCGGGCGCTGCTGTGCTACGGAGGCTGTGGCACGCCCTTCGCCCAAGAGCATGGCAGCCATTTTACCCACATGTTCACAGAGAGGGGAGACGGCAAGATGGCCTCCGGGGAGGGGGCTTTTTGCCTGATAATATTCGAAGATCCCTGCCCGCCCGCTTACGATATCTTTCCGTTCCGACCAGTCAAAGCCGCATCTCATTCTTACTCAGATGTTCCTCTGCTTAAAATAAGATTATGCTAAGAAGCTCTGGATGAATTATATAGAAAAAACGTAAACAATTTTCACTTAGCCTCCACCCAATGGGCTCTGAGCAGCCTAATATGGTCGACGCTGCTACTCTAGACTTACTGTTAACGTCTAACAATACAGACAAAACCCAGTGTAAGACACCGATCCTCAGACTCATACGTGCTTTATAATGGTGCTCATTTTGAAACCAGTTTCTTCTTTTTCTTCTTACAATTATTAATCAGTGTTATGTTGAGTCAGTACTGGAACCCAGCTGATTGCTGATAAACCTGCGAGCTCTGTCTGCTCGCGGCAGGCCTGGTTGCCAAGGCAACATGCTGTGGCGCAGCACTTATTCGGCCGCGGCTGAATCGCAGTAGCGGCTTCGGCTGTCCGGGGATCTGCTCCCATTCGCCGCTGCGGGAAGCCAGCTGCTGCAGCCTGAGGTGAGCGGGAGCGAGGAGGTCCACCTGCCCGCTGCGGAAGGACGGCTTTGTCTGCACGCCTGTGTCTGTGCTCCGCGTGAAAGCGAGACTGCACGACTGCAGCTCCAGCTCGCCGCTCATGCCAACCGTGCTTGGCTTCATCCGTGTTCATCTCACTGCTCTCAGCCTTTTCTCGAACATAATATTCCACCCACAGTATTCATACACCAGGCATCGTTGGTTGTTTAGAAAACTATGCGCCTTATTTTCGTTTGCGCGTGCATCGTCCTTTTGTTTAACAGAAATTTCATATTTTTCATCATCAAATGCTATTGGCCACACCCTATATCGTAGCTTAAAATAGCAATAAGTCAAAGGAACATTAAAATTCCCCTTTCCATTCCATAGCAAAGTGTAACAAACGGCACGGCATGACATAATCAGTCACATAATCAGCAGAGACATCGTTAATCGATTGCTAAGTGAAGAGCACATGGATACATCCATTCACATCATCTGTAGCTGTCATTGGCACTTTTGGCTTGAAAACAGTTTATTGTGAAAAAAACATGCAAAACATACCTGCAAAAAAATAAAATCAGTGAAAGCGACGCTGTAGAGCAAAAATTAAGAAAAAGATCATGCCGAGTCCCTCTGCCACACTTTATGTTCTCTACCTTAAAAAATAAACAGTTTGTAAACTGCAAGAAGTGGAAGGCTTGTTTGACAGGACTTGCTGTTGCTCTGTGGTGCTGTTAGATGCAAACCTTCTCTCTCTCTCCCTCTCTCTCTCTAGCATTCTCGTTTCAGCCTCCTTCCACTCTCTCTCCAATCCAAAAGCTACCCGGTGCCCTGCTCCCTGGTTGCTATCCTCTCGCTGCCCGCTTGCTGCCCGCTCGCTGCCCGCTTGCTGCTCCAGTGCGAGGGCTCTGCCAGAGGACAGGTAAAAATAGCAGCGTGGAGTGTTCAGGCTGCTTGCAGCTGAGCCGGAAGTGAGAGCTTTATGATGCACTACTGCACGCAAAGTGAGTGATTCGCTTCTCCATCACATCAGCGCCGTGTGGGGAGAAGGTTAGGCGGCATCATGCAGCAGCGGCTGCACCAGAGAGCCTCAGAACCACAAAAACAGAAATGACTTGGCAAACGTTACACTGCAACCTCAGACACATAAACGACTCAGCAAATGTTACTCTGCAACATCAGACACGTAAACGTTTCAGCAAATGTTACTCTGCAGCCTCAAACACGTAAACATCTCAGCAAATGTTACTCTGCAGCTTCAAACACAGACAATGAAATATATATTACTCTGCAGTCATATAAACAGAAATGACTCAGTAAGCATTACTCTGCAGCCATACATGGAGAAATGACTCAGCAAACATTTCTCTGCAGCCTCAAACACATAGATGACACAGTAGATATTACTCTGCAGTCACAATTGCAGAAACGAGTCAGCAAATGTTGCTCTGCAGCCTCAGATGCATAAACGATTTACCAAACATTACTCTGCAGTCTCTGATGCATAAACGACTCAGCAAATGTTACTCTACAGCCCCAAACACAGAAACGACTCAGCAAATGTTACCGCAGCCTCAGACGCATGAACAATTCAGCAAACGTTACAGTGCAGCCCCAAGCGCTGAAACAAGTTGGAAAATTTTACTCTGCACCCCTAAACACAGGAAACACTGAGCAAACGTTACTCTGTAGCTAAAAGCATAAAGCACAAGTCCATGACTTAGCAGTCACCAAAGCAACTGATGTAGATTACTGCATGCACAACTGCACATCACAAATTGTCACAGATCTGAAGTACTTTGGTTTTGGAGAAAAGAGTAGAAGACTTGGAGAGACATTAACTGATTACCACAGACGCATAAAAGCTATTATTTGTGCGCCAGGTCATAAGGCAGGGCTGATCTGCCAGCATCGCTTGACTTTTTAATAGCCTAATGAACAATAGCCATGTATGCCTCTGTGAGTATGAGCAGAGGATTAACGGAGGATGAAAAGGCATAAGCAGGCACAACCAGTGCTGCTAAGATAACCTGGGACAGTCCAAGTACTTTTCAATATTTCATGACTAATTCAAGACACATCTTAATGACCAGTGATGATGGTAGTCTAAATCTCTCACAGATACACACTTATAGCAAACACACACACACACACACACACGTTTGTATTCACATCTTTGTGGGGACCATCCATTCATTTATATGGGCAAAACCCTAATTCCATCAATTGCAACCTTGACCCGTACCCAGCCCTAACCTTACCCACAAGTAAACAAACAAAATACAAGTCTTGACATTTTTTTTTTTTACTGTAGTCAAAGATTTTTGTAAAAATGAGTTTCCCCTTGTGGACAAAAATGGTCCCTGCAACATCAAAATAATAGGTCTTTCTCACATGGTGGGGAAATTTGGTCCCCACAATGTAATATATATATAACCCACACACACTGTCTACCACCTGCTATGACCTACTGTTTTCATTCCTGCTCAACCTGCTTTTCAAGTTTGACCTTAGTGCAGCTATGTCCCATGTCCTTTGTCCACTTGACTATAGGGGAAGAAGAGCAGAGCCCTGGTTGTTAGACTGTTAACGGGACTGACAGCTTTTTCAGGGTTAATGACATTTAGGCATTGACTCTACAGTGAAACTAAGGAAGCAGAATTAGAGACTGTCAGAACACTGTCACGAAACTGCAAAATCTGCCACCTACAAATTTTTTTTATTTTAAATGTTACAATATTATACACTCACTGGCCACTTTATTAGGTACACCTGATCAACTGCTCATTGGAACAAACATCTAATTAGCCAAGATCTGTAGCTGATCTACTAGAATTTTCACATAAAAGAGGTTTGCACTTTAGGGTTTACAGAGAATGGACTGAATAAGAAAAGGATCCAGTGAGCAGCGGTTCTCTGGGCGAAAATGCCTTGTTGATGGCAGAGGTCAGAGAAAAACGGCCAGCTTGGTTCAAGCTGAATGAAACGAAAGTGTAACTCAAGTAATAACTCGTTACACGCAAGGTATGTAGAATAGCATCAGAATAGCATTTATGCATCAGAGAATAGCACCACTCAATGTGTTGAACCTTGAAGCAGATGGGCTACAGTAGCAGAAGACCACGCGCAGCTCCACTCCTGTCAAAGAACAGCAAACTGAGGCTATAGCGGGTACGGGCTCACAAAAAATGGACAATGGAACGTTGGAAAATTTTTGCCTGGTCAAAGGAGTCTAGATTTCCACTGCCACATTTAAATAGTAGGGTGAGAATTTGGCATAAACTACATGAAAGCATGGATCCATCCTGCCTTATATCAATCAAGGCTGCTACTGGTGCTGTAATGGTGTGAAGGATATTTTCTTGGCACGCTTTGGGCCCCCTTAGTACCAAATGAGCATCGTTTAAAAGCCACAGGCTACATGAGTCCTGTTCCTGACCATGTGACCACGGTGTACCCAGCTTCACCCTGTACCTAGGCGGCGTAACGCAAAGCTCATATCGTCTCGCACTGGCTTGTTGAACATGCCAATGCTTTCACTACATACCTGATCCAATTGAGCACCTATGGGATGTAGTGGAATGGCGGATCTGCATCATGAAGGTGCAGCTGCAAATCTGCAGCAACTTCATGCTGCCATCATGTCAACATTGACCAAAGACTAATGAATGTTTCAAGCACCTTGTTGAATCTGTGCCACGTAGAATCAAAGCAGTTCTAAAGGCCTTAGGGATCCAACACAGTACTAGCAATGTGTACCTTATAAAGTGGCCAGTGAGTGTATATGAATGATGCTACATAATATCAACATTGCATAATTCATTGCAAAAATTCAACACTATATCTAAGAAAAAGTACATATTAGAGGTCTGTAGTACATGCATGTGCATGGTCTGTGATGGACTGCCAGAATAAATTAATAAACTGTCAAACTTCCCAATGAATCTACAATGTACAAAACATATTCAAGGAAAATAATTCGAATGACCTCATGACAAATACAGTTGCTGAGGTTTTGTTTTTAAAATTAAGCTGCAGTTAATCTCCCCTGGGGAAAAATTCAGTAAAAGAATATGCTGCATATGTTGACTTCAAAATGGAGTGAACGCAAGAATGCAGTGCCTTTCACTTCCAGCAGGGGGTGTACACTCACACTTAACTGTACTTGTACTAGCAGAGAAAGTAAAATTTTAGTACGTTTTATTTATTCCTAATGAAGTTATTTCAAATCATGTGTGGAGTGTTGATCTAATTGGAGTCCATGCTCCCTAGAGGTGTGATAGCCTGTTTAACAAAAACAAAAAATCTTTTAAGTTTAGATTCTGTTGTTGATCTGAAAAGAGATGGAATTTGCAGAAACTCATGATTAAAGAATTTTGTTTACAGACCCTTTACTTCTTCTGATATGGTCATTTGTATAAAGCTCCCCTGTGTATAAAATATCATCAGATTCAGTTGAATTTGAATGATGTCAAATATCTAAACTTCACTGGATTTTGTTCAGGAAATGCAAAGCTTGAAAGCTGGAACTTGAAACAATGTTGCAAGAAAACACACAGGAAAAATCATCAATAAGCTTACAATGGCTCATGTGGGAGAGGGGGGATCTGCCCCCACCACAATGCTGACCCTGACTTAGTGTAAAAATGTAATCCCAGATTATTGTTTATGTGTGAGTTGAACTTCGTGTGTAATTTTGTGTGAGTGTGTGTCCTTGTGAAAGACTAGCATCAGGTCATTGGGATAGGGTCCACACTCATTGTGATGCAGAGTTTAATGTGAGGCTTGTGGGAAGGGAAATGGTATCTGCTTAAAGTTGCCACATGCTACAAAAATATTAGATGTTTTACAGTATAAGGACTGTGAGTGGCAGGTTTGTACTGTGGGATCTTGGGACTATAGAAGTTCAAACCTGCGAAATTACAGAATGGGATCAAAGGGAGAGTCATCTGCACTCTGTCTGGACTGGTTTCTTTCTTTAATGAGCACAGGACCAACATAGGAAGGAGAGAGAGCTGGCTGTGTGGAACAAAGTCATAGAGCATGCAAGTAGTTGGCCCATAGAGAGTGAACTGCCTCTAAGAGAGAAAATTGATTTAGCAGAGCTTGAATTAAGTAGTTTGTTAGGTTTTGAGAAAAGACACACTTCTCCTTGAAGTCTCTCATGCTCTGACTGGAAGATCCGGAATAAATCAAAAAGTCAGACAGGCAGTAATAAATCTATCAGATTAGGGAAAGCAGAGGTGGAGAGAGAGATGAGAAAATAACCAAGAGATGAGGTAGAAAAGGAGTAAGAACAAGGTCAGTGATAAAACAAGCAGCTAGTGTATCAGATAGACTATGGAAAATGTAAGGATGAATCTCAAATGAATGTTTAACTGGTTAGGCATTAAGATCTAAAAATGAATCTTAAGCATCATATGCTGTGCATTTGCAGATGATTTATTAATGGCTATAATGTCCCGTCCCAGTCTGACCCAGGCTATTAATGGCTACTTCTGCTGACTGCATCCCTGACTGTCCTCCTTCTACACCCGCCGCTTATTGGTGAAGAACACCTTCCAGACGTCCAGGTTTGCTGAGGCCTCCATCTCAGGCCTGAAGGTTTCACTGGGATCTCTGGCCATCTGCTCCCAAAATTGTCTGGAATCACACAGCTGGATACAAACCAAAAGCACGTGCAGTAATGAAAACGTGTGACGGTCACATCCAGTCATAAGGCATCACCACAGCTGTCTTTACACTTCATATATATGTGAACAGAATATTAATCAAAGATCCCAGAGAAATTCATCTCAAATGGGAAAATTGTACAGAAAATTCAATACATCCATTATATTGAGGTTAATTATAGCAGCATTAATATGATGATTGGGGTAGGAAACTTTAGGAAAAAGTTACAGAGACCTGTGTACCAGCATGACCAGGTTGAAGAACAGCTTCTACCCCAGAGCAGTGACAATTTTGAAGCAGTGCTCACTCCCTCCCCTCCCCCATAACCCACCCACTACTGTAATTAAACTGGCCCTCTGTCACACCACACATATTTACACACTTATACATGCTGAACTGTGTACAATCCGTGTATAATGGCATAGAATGTATTATATCTTAACCATTGTCACTGTGTTCATTATTTTTTCTACCCCCCCTTCAAGTGCATCTCAAACACTGTGACCCTTCATTTGTTTGTTTATTTGCCTCTCCACTCCTCAAGTGCAATAATTTTTTATCCCAAGTGAAATACTCTGTATAATATGCTACTATGTATAATATGCTACTGGCTTCTTTGCTTCCAGTACCAGTATTATTTTTGGTGTATATATATATATATATATATATATATATATGGTGTATATGTATATATATATAGAGGTTGAATATTTATAACTGTCAAAAGGTTTATTATATACAAGTGCGCCCTCTGCTGGACATGTGCTGCATGTCCCATTTCTGTTTCTAAAGCAGGCCATGGTCATAATGGAATTAAATTTTAATAAATGAAATGAGTAGTAATTTTTCTTTCATGAGTTAAAGTCCTGGGAACGTGGCTTGCGTTTTATTTCGATATATTAAATGGTATTTACATTTAGCACTATTTTTATTAAAGAAAGTGCACTTTTCTCCCAAATCTCAGTCAACATGCAGAGGCTATGCGTCACTGAGTGTGAGAGTATCCCAAAGCACTCACCTGTCTGAGGTGCACCAGAGCTGCAAGAGATCCTCTTATCCAGGGAGGACCATTATCTGCAGCAGTGGGGCATCAGGCAGGCAGTCCAGGGAGTCAAACTGCCCCTGGCACAGATGCTGGGCATATTGCAGGATACTGGTTCCGACCATCACCTGGTCTACATACAGCCATGTGTTTTACCTCTCTAACTGATATGGAGAATAATATACAAGCAGAAATGTGGAGGCTGTGGAAAAAAAAGATGGCACTTTCAGAGGCTATCTCACTCTGAAGACTGGGATAGAGCAAAAAGTCTTGGTAGTTTTCCCTTATTTCTGCAGGCTGTGTAGAAAATACAGCCTGCATCCCCCCCCATCTTACCAAAGCATTACAGATGTCAAGTGGATGCTGCCAATGTGACCTTAACATATGGCGTCTTACCGTCCGATACGTCTCAGACCATGACACGCTCTGCTTTTACAAGTTTACATGATTCACTTTATGTGAAAGGTCATAGTGTTCTGGAATCATGACTGGATACATACAACATGCAGGCGGGTTCTGTGCGGCTGATCAGCAGGGGGTGTAGCTTGAAATTTTAGGTCTACAGACAAAATGTCACCTTGAGCTCCCTGCCAAATGTTGCATATAACTTCATGTATTCAAGGGCCTCTGTAAGATGCTGCTCCGCCTGAAGCTGCCCCTGTATCCATTACCCTACCGCACCCCTGCAGCTCAGCATTATAATCGGTAACATTCTAAGACCTAAATGAACTTCGATGTGGTTTGATTGTTGGTGGCAGATGTGGTGGTCAGGGGCGGATTAACGCACAGGCTAGATATGGCTTAAGCCTAGGGGCCCCACGTGTGCCAGCCTGCAAGGGGGCCCCCATTGGCGCGGAGAGGGGCGGGGTTGGGGGGCCCACAGACTACTGTAGCCTAGGGGCCTCTGTACACCTTAATCCGCCCCTGGTGGTGGTACCAGCTTCTTATAAATGGTCACTTTCCTCACCAGTTTAATGTTTAATGGTGCAATAAACAAAGAACAAATAATAATTAAAAAACTTTGATAATGAGAGAGATCAGAAGAGGGTAGCCAGACTCGTTAAAGCTAACAGGAAGGTCACAAGTGCTAAAACAACAGTCCAGTACAAAAGTGGTGTCCAAGGTGGCATCTCTGGACACATTTGTCAATCCTTCAGGAGGATCTGGAGACAATAGGGCAAACTAACTAAGATTATAAAAAGTGACCAGATAAAATGGCCCTTTATGTATATGTACTGATTATATAAACAAAGACTCCAAATACATATGCAATGTATACGGTCTTAGATATGTTAATAAAATATAGACAGGAAAAAGCTCACTTACAGATTTTAAACCGGGATTTATTTCATAATAGTATTTTTCTTAATGTGCCATCAAAAACATGGCTTAGTAGAGTGAGAGTAGGGAAATTTCCTTTAACATAACTGACTACAGGAAATTCAACCTCTGTTTTAAATCACTACCTTTTATCGTATGCTAATTAAAAAAGAGGCTTGATTTTAATTGTTGATCTTTACTATTGAGCTTGCTGTAATATCTTATTTCATAACGTTTTGCTAACCTCCACAGAACCTTCTCAGCCTGAAATTATAATATACTGATGTCAAAGGAAACGTGTGGTGTACTTTGTTTTTTTGTAACAAGAAGCTGGAAGAAGTCATCGGAGGGCGAAGGGCCTTGGCCACTGATTTCAAACACCGTATCTCCCAGTAAAGGCGCCATATTGGGACGCTAAGGCGTTACCAGGACAACGGACAGGACAACGGGCTCCTCTTTCTACCGGCAAACAGGTAAACGTTTTCGTGATGTTTTGCAGAACGCAAAAACGGTGACAGTATGTTCAATAAAAAATAATTTAACTGTATGTAGTATGGGGAAATATTAACACGGAATTTTCTATAATAAAATAATCGTGTAAACAGTTGTTAAGATTAAAGGGTCATGACCCAGCGGATGGATATTTCTCAGAAATTTTAATGCATATTATACCTCACTCACATGAAGAAGTACAGTAAAGCAAACGATGAAATGTCATTTGGTGTCGTTTTTCTAAGTCAGGACTGAGTTTTAAAGTGCTTAAAATTAGGTAGCAGCTCGCACTAGATGCCGACGATGGGCAAAGTAGTTCTGAGCGGGCCGATTTGGCGGAGGCGCACGGCGTTGGCAGGTCCTCAGCTGATGTGAAGGTAAGAGCTGAGAGAGTGGAGCTGCTCTGTCTAACAGCAACTACAGCACTGCAACAAATAGGTAATAAAAACGCACCAAACGTCCACCAGCGCGTCGCTTCGGTTGCGGAGCGGCCGGAGAGCGTACGACTTGCTCGTCGGGCTTCTCGGAAAGTGGGGGTTCCTGCTTCGCCGCTCTTCGTGCTGCAGTGAGGAAGGTCCAGAGGCCATTTCGCTCCGCAGAGGAGAGTCGCGCTCCGACGGGCGACGTTATCGCTCGTGACGGAGAGAGGCTAGCTGGATGTTTATCAACACGCCGTGCAGCGGCTCCAGTGAAACCCCTGTTAGCTACTAAAGCCACCGGGGTTAGTCGGGAGCTGAATAGGCGCTCCACTTCTCACCAGGGTTTTTGTATGGGCGTTTAAGGTCCGGGTCGGCCCGTGGAAATTAAATAAAATCCGTGGTGCGGTCTGGGGTAACTGAAGGGGCCCTCTTTTGCGCACTTAGCCCCGTGCCCAAGTGAAAACACACCGACAGGCAGCTGCTGCGCTTCGCTCACTAACGCTGGTAAGTTAACTGCTGGTTACTTGTCCGAGGCCTCGTTAAGTAACCCCGGGTTGACCGCACGGTGACGGACACGGTCCTCGCGGCAAGTCAGCAGCCGGTGGAGTAGGCCTGTATGTCGGTAGGTGGCCGGCCGGCTGGGCGAGTCTGCGGATAAACAGGCTTTAACCTTACTGACGCGATCTGTCTGCTGTATAAACATAATGGCACACAGGGGCTGTTCCAGGACCCCCGATCCAACACGCAGCTCCGAAATATTCTGAAATATCCGTACTTCCCAATTCGATTATACGCTCTCGTCGTCAGAAACCTGAAGCGGCGATGTTTGACGTTTATGCTAAGCTCCGCTCTTAGGGCCAGCTGGACATAACGCCTACCCGGATTAACTGCTTTGCTGTCGGTTGCATGTCAAATGGAGCCCGAGGCTGTAATTAGCTACGTCGTACCGTGGGCCTCGGCTAAAAAGTAATAAATAAATGTTTTATCCATTCTGCGTACACTGTAAAACAGACATACGCAAATAATAAGCAAGGGGGTGTTGGTAAAACAAGAAATATGTCATCGGACGTTGTATAACATACTGGTTTCATAAATGTTTAATCAAAATAAACAAAGACGGTGATCCAGTGATTTCTGAGGCCTAAACGGCCTTATGTCGTATTTTTTTAACCTTCTGACAAAACTAGCGGTTTGTACAGCATCCTGGCTTATTAACTGGCGCTCAACTAAAACGATCACATTTTTATAGCGTTTAATCTGACGTGGCTAGCCAGGTCCACCTAGCGCAACATTTATTCGGCATTTCCGTCGTTAGCTGGCCGAGTTAGCCAGGCTTCTCTGCCGGGGCGAGCAGCAATCCGCCTCTCAGGTATTTTTACCGACATACGTAACTTAACAGGTATTCGACTTTTGAAATCGTTACACCGAGGCTGTTAATTTAACGTAGCTTTCCTTGGTCAGGGGTGAAAGGCCTAATTCAGCATTTGTAGTTTATTTGCTGTGCGTCGATTGCACAGCGTACCGTGAATTTTTTTTGATTTGGCGTTTAAATCGTACGAAGTCTTCTCTGACTTAATATCACCCTTTTAAAATCAAGTTGATATTATAGGTAACAACCATTGACACGTTTATTTTTTTCCGTCCATTTTCTGTAATGGCTTATCCAGTTTGGAGTGTGGTTGTCTGAAACCAAGGCTGGGTGCAGCTTAAACGGGCCTAGTCCCTGTGGTCATGTCTGCAGTGACAGTATACACGGGGTTACCTGCACACATCCTTAATTGAACCCGCATTAAAACAATGTGCCTAGTCAACCTATCACTTAATTTCACTATTACTGCTTTGTTCCATTTCAAAGAAAAACAGCGGAACCCAGACCACTTATACAGTTTGATAATTCATTGGCTGTGGTAACTGGACAGATTTAATATATTTTTAATAGGTGTACAACTACTGTAATATTTTCCCAAAGGATACTTTACAGCATAAATTTCACTCCAGCCCAGGGCTATAGGCTTGGATTGGCCCTTTTCTCTTCCTCATGCAGTGTGGAGAACAGTGGCGTGAAAATGGGAGTGGTTGTAATCCCCCCTTCCCTTTGCTCCCCTGGAGGAGCCCCAGCCACAGTTTCTCAGGTGTACCAGACTTATCACACGTCGAAGGCCTTGCACTGTAACAATCAGCCATGCTATCAAGTGCATAACACTGCCATCTGTCTCTGGAGATCCTGAGTTGATTGATTAAATTATGGGTAACAGCCTTTTGCTTGTATTTGTCACTGTATGCATCTAGAAGCTGTTGCAACAGTTGAGAACTGGCTCACTGGTAGCTTTTAATGTTTGAGTTTAGGTGCTCCCTTTTTTTTTTTCCTTTGTTTCCATATAACGTACAGAAAGGGCAACAGTTCCAACTTTTTTTTCTCCGTACAATTTACTCTGCAGTGAATAGTGTTGCATTTATATTTTCCACGACACACTGCAGCTTTGTTTCATTGCTGATTGTTTTCTAAAGGCCTTTTGAGACCTAATCTTGTCAGTAACCACTTGTGAACATGGAACCATCGAACAAATTAGGAAAGCTTTTATCAACAAGTAAAAACTGTAAACTGGATGCAATTACTCATTCTTTTAATAGATGTACCTCGTGAGGTTAAATGACTGACTTTAAAATGTACAAACAGATCAGTTTCCTCATTTTTAAGGACCGCAGCCTTTGGGAGTTAACTAAATTAAAAGTCTATAGGCTTGTGAAAGGTTTAGTTACGAAATAAGTATTTTGAAACAGTGTAAGTAAGGCTTTGAAGATCAGAGAGAGGAGGATGGATGAAAGAAGGTGAATTGAGCGGGCATTTTAGTAGAGAGCGGTGATGGTAGAGAAGGTCTGCAGCTACGCAGAGAGCATGTTGAGAAGCCTTAACAGGAGCACCCCAGATTTTAGGTAAGTTAATGTGTTATAGTACAAGTTCGTGGCATAGAAACACTGCTTGTTCTGCCTTTTGAGCCAAAATACTTTTCATGTAAGGCAGAGTGGACTAGGGATGGGTGCCTAGGACCCTGTGTTTATAGGCTGTGTCAGTATACCACATACTAGAGGCACCATTCGCGGTGACCTGAATGTTTGAACAGTAGACTCTGTGGGGGATTTAGCAGGATACAGAAATTCTTCATGAACAAAATGTAGAAATTTTATCTGAATTTGACTTGGTTAGTATTGAGGCAGATTGTCCTGCAGTTGAAGTATGATGTAGAATTGGAGGTATAGTGTTGAAGTTCATTAAACTTGATATGCAGGTCACTGGTTCCGATGGCCTTGTGGAAAATTAGGGATGCAGTTGAGCTCCCGTGCCATGGGGTTAATTGCATTTGGTGCTGGATAAGCTAAATGGTTGTCTGTGTACATCATTCTGTTATGGTTTTATTTTGGTGAAATTGTGTATGTATCTGTGTTCATTGCTTAATTACGACTCGGAAGCATATTGGTGTGGAACGCTTCAGACTAGCTGTGTAGTTTAAATACGGTTATGTGTCCACAGGAGGCCTGGACGGGGACCCATTCGGGTCACCAGGCGGCCCAAATTCCATTGCTGTCACATTCCTGGGCCTGTGGTTCCCAAGTTAGTCTTGGTTAATCTTACTTATCTCATCTCCCTATTATGTATGTCCAGCATCTGTTTTTATGCAATGTGACTTACAACTCAGCATATTCATGTGCTGTCAGGAGTGCAGTAAACAAAAATCAGACGAGTACAATCACTGTCAGATTGTGCTAAAAATACTGTATTGTACCATACAGGATATAGTGTGTAATGTAGCAGAAGTACTGAGAGAGTTTATCAGAGTATTAATAGGCCAGTTCATAATCATTTTAAGTGAGTTCTAAAATTATAAATGTTTTAATTATGATTTAAGTTTTGCCTTCAAAAATGCGTGAAGTGTTAATCAGTCTGTAGACTTAAAGAAATGCTGTATCTGAGTCTGGGCGTCTGCAAAATCATTATGGTCTACACCAAGTGTGTTCAATCATGGGAACGTTCACTGCTGAGCGAGCGGGTGGGTGGTAGGGGGGGGAGGCACCTGAGCTTATCTAATTTTCTGTCGTTCGTTGCCCAGAACAACCTTGGTAACCGTGGGACTAGTTAACATGTTTATTTCTTCAGCATTACTTTGCCTGTACACCAGACTTTTAGAACTGTGAATGACACCCCCATATCCTGCTTATGGTCTTACCGGTATCTCTCTCTCTCTCTCTCTCTCTCTCTCTCTCTCTCTCTCTCTCCTCCCTAGTGAATGGTAGTGTCTAGAAAGGGTATGTCCCTTCAGGAGAGAGGTGCCAATGTCCAACCGGCCTAATTCCAATCCAGGGGGGTCACTGCGACGTTCACAGAGGAACAGTGCTGCGGCCCAGCCACACGACGACTCAGTCGCAGGAAGGTATGTGCATGCGGCTTTTTTCTTTTGATTTTTCTTTTTTTTTTTTCTTCTTCCTGAGCTTTTGGTGGTATGTGTAGTACCTGCATGCCCTAATCTACCCATCATGGAAAGTCATTCAATTTGCCTGGCAGCTTAAGCTTCTCTCCTGCTGCTACTGCTATGGTGTTGGTGCACAAACACAAAGCCTTGACAATAAGCAAGACATTTTGGATGCTGGTGGTTGTGAAACACATCCACACGGAGGTTTGGAAGGGCTGAGTGTGAGAGGGCAAAAGAGAGGGAGGGAGAGGGGGGTGGTGGGGTGGGAAGGTGGATGTAGGTATCTCCCCGAACATCCTGTCACTGGCTCTTTAATTTCCAACCTTACAGGTTGCAGTCAGAGCAGGTAAAACGTGAAGCTAATTCCCCTCCTGAAAGTAGAAGACCTATTTCTAAGGCTTCAAAAGCCCAACCCACAGGGCACCGTTCAAGAAGGTACCCCTCCTTTCTTCTCTGCATCCTTTGTGTAATGTGGCTTTGCTACGACTAAATTGGCTTTCTAGACGGTCAATATCTGCTGCGTGTCTATTTGCCCGCTATTCGTCACTTGTTATGTTAGATGGGGTTTGAAACTGAAGATGAACGCCCGGGAGGGAGCCGAGTGTGGCCGTGCTGAAATGTCCCCTTTCTGTGTGTCCCCAGAAGCGGCCTTCCGCTGTCAGTGGCTTCGTTCGTACTGCAGGACGACTCGGTTGGTGCGGGGACATCAGAAGCAGAGAGGGCCAGCCAGGCTAAGAGGGAGGGCACCCGTGGAGTGAAGCGCGGCTCGGCCCCAGAGCAGAACAGCTCTTACTCAGCCAGCCCTGCTAAAAAGCCCAAAGCGCTTGTGACCCCAGACGCCTGCCCCGAGGCCAGACGGACATCGGCTAAACCTAAGAAGAGGCGCTTGGTGCTAGAGCAGCCCGTCTCAGGCAGCCGGGCCCTGAACAGGAAGAGTGGAGCGGCCGGGGCGTCCCCGACCCAGAAACGGAAAAAGGCGGACGCTTCCTCGGGTTCTCTCCCCGCTGGTACCGAGGCCAAGTCCGCAAAACCCACCAAGCTGGCTTCTAAACCGGCCGCCTCAGCCAGAGCTGGGTGCAGCACTGTAACGGACACCTCCTCTTCTGCCTCCTCTTCCTCCTCCTCCTCTTCCACCGGACCCCCCGGCACCGCAGCCCAGGGTGCGCGACTTAAGCAGGGGAAGGACCAGAGCAAAGCCCGGCGTTCCCGCTCAGCCTCTAGCCCCAGTCCACGGCGCAGCAGCCGGGACAAGGAGCCACCCAAACCCCCCGGTACCTCCAAGTTTGAGTGGGCTGCCCGCTTCAGCCCCAAGGTCAACCTGCCGAAGCCCAAGCTGTCTCTGCCCGGGTCCTCCAAGCCAGAGACGTCGAAGCCCGGCCCCTCAGGGCTGCAGGCCAAGCTAGCTAGTGAGCTCCCCCCTCGCCCTATTAGTCCTATACCTCATGCCTTAGGGGCACATTGGTGGTTCTGGGGTTCTTCAATTGGGGCAGGGGGGTGTCAATTTCAAGGGGACAGGGGTGGCTCCCATTCCACTTAATCTGTCTGCGCTTCCCCTCAGCTAAAATCGGCAGCTTCAGCTGCTGCTCTGTAACGCAGGAGAGGCTTATGGGGGTAGCCCCACCCTGATTTGAGTGGGGGGGGGGGGTTCTGGGAGTTTGGGTTTCTACGGGCCTGTTATGTGGTCAGTGGGATAGGCTGCCATTACAGCGTATGGGTCAGATTTAAGTGGGTGTTGTAGTGCAGGGCTGTCTGGAGGGTGACTAGGGTGAGGTGTGTGTGTGTGTGTGTGTGTGTCAGCTGCTGGGTAAGCCCTGAGTTTGCTTGCATTTTGCATGTTGGTTTTGTCTGACAATGGTTGGGTAAAGATATTACATGCAGATTCATGCCCTGTACTCTGGTTTGCCTGTAAGTCCAGCTAAATGTCCATGTGACTGGTCTGCCTTTGGAATCTGCAGGTTTAAGGAAGTCCACGAAGAAGCGCAGCGAATCACCCCCAGCGGAGCTCCCCAGCTTCCGGCGGAGCGCACGGCAGAAGACCACGGGCTCCTGTGCCAGTACCAGGTAGGGGGCGCTCACGGTGGTGGGTGCGGAGTGTGTGTCCGGCTGGCTGTATGTGGGCTGACGATGCCCCCTTGCTTTGGTGTGTGTGCAGTCGGCGAGGCTCAGGCCTGGGCAAGCGCGGGGCGGGCGACGCGCGCCGACAGGAGAAGATGGCCGACGCCGACAACAATCAAGATGGGGCCAACCCTTCCAGCGCACGCACCGACGACGTCCCGCAAGGAGCCTCCGGTACGGCCGCCTCTCGGCTCAGGGAACGCGAACGTTATTGGGCAGGATAGTCGCGCCGATGTTCTTCCCAATGGTACCAACTTTTTTTTTTTTTTTTGTCTCCTCTTAATTCAGCCTCCAGCTCAGTGGCCGGAGCAGTGGGTATGACCACGTCGGGGGAGAGCGAATCTGACGACTCGGAAATGGGCCGCCTGCAGGGTGAGCCGGCCTCGTCTGATTGGATGGGTGGACTTTTGGGGAGGGGTCAGGCTGTCGCGGTGACTAGCCTTTCGGTATTGCCGAGTGGTGTTTTTGGTGACTTACTGTCTGTCTGTCTTTACGTGCCAGCTCTCCTGGAAGCCAGGGGCCTTCCTCCACACCTGTTTGGGCCCCTGGGGCCCCGTGTGTCCCAGCTGTTCCACAGGACGATAGGCAGTGGAGCCAGTAAGTGCCCCTTATTTGTGTACACACGTGCCCCCCCTCCCTCCCAGTGTGTGTGTGGCTGCTCATGGCTTCCCTTTCAGGCTCCAAAGCCCAGCAGCTGCTCCAGGGTCTGCAGGCCACGGGAGACGAGTCCCAGCAGCTGCAAGCCGCCATTGAGATGTGCCAGCTTCTGGTGATGGGCAACGAGGAGACGCTGGGGGGGTTCCCGGTGAAGAGCGTGGTGCCTGCGTTGGTGAGTGTGTCCCCCGGCTTCTCGGGAAGCGTCTGCGTCTGTCTCGCTCACCCTAACGCTGTCCTCTGTCCCGCAGATTACCCTTCTGCAGATGGAGCATAACTTTGACATCGTAAGTTTGCAGAACTCGTGATGGTACTGGTGCTGCTGTTATCCCAGGGGTGTCAGTGCCAGACCAGCTTCTCCCCTTTTTCCAGATGAACCACGCCTCACGGGCTCTGACCTACATGATGGAAGCGCTGCCGCGCTCCTCAGCCGTCGTCGTGGACGCTATCCCGGTCTTCCTCGAGAAGGTTAGTCCGTGTGTGGGCCCCTGATTCCACCCGCCTCCTAACCGGCCGGCGGAGAGACTCACGGCCCCGATTCTTCCCGCAGCTGCAGGTGATCCAGTTCATCGACGTGGCGGAGCAGGCCCTGACTGCGCTGGAGATGCTGTCGCGGCGACACAGTAAAGCCATTCTGCAGGCTGTATGCATCGCTCTCGCCGGCACCCGTCCCTCGCGTTTATTCGTGGTTTTTCTGGCTTTTGGGAGGCGTTTACCGGTAGGCCTCGTGTCTGACCCTTCTGGTTCCTCAGGGTGGGCTGGCCGACTGCCTGCTTTACCTTGAGTTCTTCAGCATCAATGCCCAGAGGAACGCCCTTGCCATAGCTGCTAACTGCTGCCAGAACATCACGCCCGACGAGTTCCACTTTGTGTCCGACTCGCTGCCCCTGCTTACACAGCGGCTAACGCATCAGGTGCCCAGCTGCCCCGCCGTGTGTCTGCGTGGCATGTGTGCCTGGGAAATAAGTGTGCCGTTAAAATGGCAGTACTGACAATATTTTTGTTTGTTTTTTTTGCTTTTAGGATAAAAAGTCTGTTGAAAGTACTTGTCTCTGCTTCGCCAGGCTTGTGGACAATTTCCAAAATGAAGAGGTAAGGCTGACTCAGCTGGATTGAGACGTGTGGTGCGGCGCTTGTGACCCCTCTCTGACCTCTGACCTCTCTCTGACCCCCATGGCAGAACCTTCTGCTGCAGGTGGCGTCCCGTGACCTGCTGACCAATATCCAGCAGCTGCTGGTGGTGACTCCGCCTGTGTTGAGCTCGGGGATGTTCATCATGGTAGTCCGCATGTTCTCGCTCATGTGTTCCAACTGCCCCTGTCTGGCCGTGCAGCTCATGAGGCAAAGTGAGTATGGGGACCATGGGTGCGGTGCGCTTGAAGGCACGGACCTGACATCTGCTTGTTTGTTGGGTCGCATCCCAGGGAGGGGATCCTGCTGTGTTTCGATTCTGGATGCCTAACCTGGATGTGGTTAAGCAGTATAGAACCTGATGTGCAGTTGTCCTTAAGATGCGTTTCTCTCCAGATATCGCAGAGACCCTTCGATTCCTCCTGTGCGGGGCGGCGAACAACAGCTGCCAAGAGCAGATCGACCTGGTGCCCCGGAGTCCGCAGGAGCTGTATGAGCTCACCTCTCTCATATGGTACACGGCCCTCCCATCGCCTCGGTGCTCATTGTGCGGTGGCCTGCCCCGGGAGCCTCTGTTAACTATGCCTGCCCCCCCCCCCAGTGAGCTGATGCCCTGCCTGCCCAGAGAGGGCATCTTCGCGGTGGACACCATGCTGAAGAAGGGCAGTGCCCAAACCACCGAGGGTGCCGTCTGGCAGTGGAGGGATGATCGAGGCCTGTGGCACCCCTACAACCGCATAGACAGCCGCATCATTGAGGTGCACCTTCTCATCTAAAATTCATTTTTCTGTGGTGGCGGTATTTGCTGGGTATCAGTCTTGAGTCTGTGCTTTGAACCCTGTTAGCTTTCCCCAGCTTAAATATGGCGTGTGCAGAATGCCAATACCTGTTTGGTAATATGGACAGTAGATCTTCTTGTGAAGAGCGTGAACTGGAAATCCCAGTAGATTTTTGCTGTTTTACCTTTGATGGGAACTTGAACTGAACCTGAACTGTTTCAGTATCACGTCCAGCTGTATAGAAGGTCGAAATCTGCTGAACTCCAGCCCCTACTGTGCTGCTTTGACCTGTTAAGTGGTGCCATCAGTACTTTATTAACTGCCTTGTTGTACAGGATCAGTCTGTGCCCTTATGGCACTCAATGATCGTTTATTAAAGGCCGAGTATCCATACCGTTATATCCTATCTGTGCAGGTTATAGTCAGTAGCTGATCTAATGTGAAAGGAAGCGTCTTCCATACTTATCCAGCAGTTGAAGAGATCACTGCTGGTTTGGGTTGAAACACTTGCCTTGAGGGCTCTTCTGTGGATTCACGTCTGTGTGTTTGTTCCGACCCTAATAGACGGCACACCAGAATGGTGAAGACGAGATCAGCCTGTCTACCCTGGGCCGTGTTTATACCATCGACTTTAACTCCATGCAGCAGATCAATGAGGACACAGGCACAGCACGGGGCATCCAGAGAAAACCCAGCCCCCTGGCCAACCCCAGCTCTGGTGAGTGGCCCCCTCCGGGTCAGGCTGCACGAGGCATTAGACACCAAGCCGATCAGCCTGACGCCAGACGTGTCCGTGGCGCAGGTGGGCATACGGAGCTCAGGAAGGACGACGCCCGGGCAGTGCTGATGAGGGAGGACCCCGAGTTGGCCCGCTGCTTCATCAAGACGCTGTTCGGGGTGCTCTACGAGGTGTACAGCTCCTCGGCCGGTCCCGCCGTCAGACACAAGTGCCTTCGAGCCATTCTTAGGATTATTTACTTTGCCGATGCTGAGCTGCTCAAGGATGTGCTGAAAAACCACGCAGTGTCCAGGTAAGGGGGTGTGCCAGACCCCTTTGAGGTCACACCAATATTAGTTAAGAAGATTGAGATGCTCGTGGTTGCCTGCTGCTCATTTTGTCTTTGTGTTCTGCAGCCACATTGCGTCTATGCTGTCCAGTCAGGACCTTAAGATTGTAGTTGGAGCTCTGCAGATGGCAGAGATTCTGATGCAGAAACTTCCAGATGTGTTCAGCGTTTACTTCAGAAGGGAAGGTAACAATGTCTAATATTCTGTATAAATTGATCCTACAGCTTCCCATCTTGCAGTTTGGCTTTTATTTGCTGAGAGATGATCTTGTCCCATGTAGTAAACGATGTCAAATTTCTGGTCTTGATTTCACTCTTCAATGTTATCTGTTTAATCCAGTCTATCAATTTGATGTGCAGCTTGCTGTGCCGCTGTTTTGAGGCCTCTTTGTATGTGCAGGTGTAATGCACCAAGTTAAAAACCTGGCCGAATCTGAGACGTTCCTCACCAGTCCGCCAAAGGCCTGTTCTAGTGGTTCTACAAACCTCTGTACCACCATCAGCACTGGTACCACGGCCAGTAGCGCCACGCCCGACCTGGGCTCGCCCAGCTTCCAGCACAGCATGGAGGATTCCCTGGACCTGAGTCCGCAGGGGTGAGTGTGCAGTCCGTCGCCGGTCAGACTTTGATGGGCCTCTTGAAGCTCACAGGCCTCACGGTGTGTTACTTCCGTCTCAGGAGGCTAAGCGACGTACTGAAGAGGAAGCGGTTGCCTAAGCGAGGACCTCGGAGACCCAAATACTCTCCACCCAGGGATGATGATAAAGTTGACAATCAGGGTACCTCACCCGCTCTGCGTGGCGCTGCTGCTTTGCTGGCTTAGTGCCGGACAGCTTCTCTGCTGGGGGTTTGTTGCCCTTAAGTTCAAGGCTGCAATAATATTTTTCAGTGTTTCTCTCCCCAGCTAAGAGTCCCACTGCCACACAGTCTCCAAAATCCTCATTCTTGGCCAGCCTGAACCCCAAGACCTGGGGTAAGCTGGGCGCCCAGAGCAACAGCACGGGGGCAGAGCCCCCTCGGCAGCCAGGGGCGAGTGGGCTGCCTCGGCCCACCCCCAAGGACACGGTCTCCAACAACCGGTACGCTTGGCCCGACCTTTGGCCTAGGTGTGTCATTTTCTACCATTGGCTGGTGAATATAATTGTATATAACAATATAAATTCTAATGGAAAAGAGCTGAAAATGATATCCATGGATACTGCGTTTTGGCTTCTTTTGGTCATTGTGAACTGTAATCACTTTCTGCGACAGTCCAAGCCCCTGATGTGATCTTACATCTTGTCGTTGAGTTCCAGTGAGCAAATGCCCGGTTCACACCTCTGCACTCGCCCTCTATTACAGGGAGAAGATCAAGGCGTGGATTAAGGAGCAGGCCAGTAAGTTTGTGGAATGCCACTTCAGCTCTGAGAACGTAGACTGCAGCAACCCCGCTCTGAATGTTCTTCAGAGGCTCTGCTCGGCAACGGAGCAGCTCAACCTGCAGGTAACGCTAAACCCCAGGGCCATGAGTCGGTGGTGGTGGGGGGGGGGGCACACTGTGGAGGCTGACTCGCTGACTCCCCCCACAGGTGGACGGAGGGATCGAGTGCCTTGTGGAGATCTGCGGCATTGTGTCCGAGTCGGACGTCTCCTCGTTTGAGATCCAGCACAGCGGCTTCGTGAAGCAGCTGTTGCTGTATTTGACCTCCAACAGCGACAGGGATGCAGTTACCCGGGACATCAGGCTCAAGCGCTTCCTGCATGTGTTTTTTGGCTGTCCGGTAAGCGCACAGCCATCGACGTCTTATCTGAATAATAGCATGTTGGAAGTGATCGATCCTGTTGGCTCAGACATGAGCTCTGCAGCTCTTGGTGTGACAGTCCCGTTGTCCTGATTATGGCTTGGTGTTCTGCGGTTTTGGTCCAGGTTCCGGGCATGGAGCCCGTGGGTCGCCTGGACCCCGCTGAGAATGGCTCACTGCTGGCACTGGTCCACAAGATGAATAGCTGCCTGAGTCAGATGGAGCAGTTTCCCGTCAAAGTGCACGACTTCCCCAGTGGAAATGGAACTGGCAGCAGGTTGGGGCCATTTTTCTAACTGCCCCCCTTCCCCCGCACTATTGTGCCCATATGCTCATGATCTCAAACATGCCCCCCCCCCCCCCACCACAGAGGATCTCAGGCTCTGAAGTTCTTCAACACGCACCAGCTGAAGTGCCAACTGCAGCGGCACCCAGACTGTACCAACGTGAAGCAGTGGAAGGGCGGTCCCGTCAAGATCGACCCCCTGGCGCTAGTGCAGGCTATCGAGAGATACCTCGTCGTCCGAGGTTGGAGGACTGTGTAGTTTGGCATCCACTGTCCTATTTTTAGCCCGAGCGATAGCCATCCTGAATGACCTCTTCTTCACAGGCTACGGTCGCATTCGCGAGGAGGATGAGGACAGCGATGACGACGGGTCCGACGACGAAATTGACGAATCGTTGGTGCGTATTTCTTTAGTGGGTTACTGGGTGAGTGTGGTCCCTCGCCGCCGTGTGACCCGTGACCTTTGTCCCTCCCCAGGCGGCTCAGTTCCTGAGCTCGGGAAGCGTGCGGCATCGCCTGCAGTTCTGCATCGGCGAACAGCTGCTGCCTTATAGCATGACCGTATACCAGGCCGTGCGGCAGTTTAGCCTGCAGGCCGAGGAGGAGCGCGAGTCCACGGACGACGAGTCGAACCCCCTGGGCCGCGCTGGCATCTGGACCAAGACGCACACCATATGGTACCGGTCACGTGTTTGGGGATGGGCAGCTTTGGGCTGCGTGTGAGCGGTGGGACAGCCTCGCCACTGGCTCCCTGGAGGGGCCCATTGTAGCCTGGGCGTGCTAAACCTGCGCCGTTTCATTAAACGTCCAGCAGGGGGCATCTGCATGTGAAGTAGGGATGTACTTGCTACATTTCCGTATAGGCATATGGTGTGCTGTTCACTCTCTTAGTGGTTACATGACTAAACAGGAGTGTGTGATTAAGCAGTTCTGCTGTGCCGTTTTGCTGATTGGTGCTGGACGTGTTGTACCTGCCCATGTGACCATCCTGGGCAGTCCCTAACGAGCGTCTGTCTGCTGCCTCGGGCAGCCGGTCGTACCTGGGCTTAATTCCCGCTGTCAGACAGCCAGTAATAGTACAAGTTTAGCAGCGTGTGGTTCCTAATGTACCTGCGAGCGGGAAGCCTGCAGAGATGCTGTCGCTCTGATCCAGCGTGTCTGTTTCTCAGGTACAAACCTGTGAGGGAGGATGAGGATGGTGGGAAGGACGCAGTGGGGGGGAAGAGGGGTCGTGCCCAGACCGCACCCACGAAGACCTCCCCCCGCAATGCCAAGAAGCAGGATGAGCTGTGGCATGGTAAAATCCTGAAGGGGGGCTGTTGCTCTTATTACCCTTTACCAGAGGGCATTTGCCCTGTAATGACCCTCTTCGGGATTTCAGGATGTCGCAATCTCCCGTCTGCGCTTCTCTTGACTTGGACCCTCCCTTCGTCCTCAGAGGGTGTGTGCCCTAGTGTCTCAAACCCCTTGGAGTCGTACCTTATGTCTGAATGTCCGGAGGGCATCACATTTGAGGACCCGTCCCTGGACGTGATCCTGCTCCTTAGGGTCCTCCATTCCATCAGCAGATACTGGTTCTACCTTTACGATGTGAGTAACCGGCGTCAGACGATTGGTCAATTCTCAATGCATGATGGGGCTTCTGCACCTTCCTTGCTGCTGTCGGTCTAAGCCAGTAGCACTTGTGCTGCATGTGGTTACAGAACGCCGTGTGCAAAGAGATCATCTCCACTAGCGAGTTCATCAATAGCAAGCTGACGGCCAAGGCCAACCGGCAGCTGCAGGACCCTTTGGTCATTATGACTGGAAACATCCCCTCCTGGCTGACTGAACTGGGCAAGACCTGGTAGGTTACATGCACACATCTGTCTTTACCATGTACACCTCTGGAAAATTGAATTTTATATATAATATTAGTGCTGTCAAATGATTAAAATTTTTAATCAGATTAATCACAGGGTTGCTGTGGATTAATTTTGATTAATCACGATTAAATATCATTCATTTTTAATCTATATTAATCGCATTTCATTTTACATGAACAAATAGATTCAAGAAAAAAGGGAATATATATGCACTTAACATGTTTACTGAACATCTTGAACACGAGTCTGATGCAATCCATCTGCCACAGAAGTGCAATACCATTGACCTTTATCTTTCACTTACAATTAGCCCAAACTACCGTAAATCCGACAAATAATCAGACTAATCATAAAGTCCAATTCTAGCCCTGTTAATTGCCATTGTTAGCAATATCAGTTAACACACTACGTGCGGTGCTTTACGTATAAAACTCCGTAGCAACACGTCCACAGATAAGTTGGACGGTATAGTGTGTGCGACTGATTTAATGAGCCACAAATGAGAAGTAGTGCTTAAACAGTATAAAACTACAACTTTCCCTTCTGTTGATAAAAGGCGCAGCCATCTTGGATTCTGAACTCGGGATCCTCTGTGCTGTTCTGAGATATTTCTCGAATCTCCGAGAAACTGGAGAGCATGTTGTTACTTGCAGGTTAACTGCGTTAAAAATTTTAATCAGATTAATCATGATGATGGATTAATCCGCGTTAACCCGTTGATTTTGACAGCCCTTTTTTTTTTATATATATATATGCTGTCTTAGAAATTTTGATCCTGGAAACAACCTGCTGTTCAGCGTAGCCTTCTACCCGAAAAACCACGATTAAACCAGAATTTAAGAATGCAGATTAAAAAAAAAAAAAAAGGTCTCAATTTTTTCCAGAGCTGTAGTTGCAGTGTTGAAGTTCAATTTTATGTGCATGTCTTTAAATCTCTTATCCTCGTCAGTGGAGTGTAATATATATGTAGAGTTACATGGAATGTTTTTGTTTATTTTTTATTTAATCTTGTTCACTGTCATGTGTTCAGCTCTAATAGTCCCCTGCAGCCTTCCAAGTTGCACAATAAAATGTGTGGCTGACGGTGATTCCCCCCTCCTCCCCAGCCCTTTCTTCTTCCCCTTTGACACGAGGCAGATGCTCTTTTACGTGACAGCGTTTGACCGGGATCGCGCCATGCAGCGCTTGTTGGACACCAACCCTGAGATCAACCAGTCTGATTCTCAGGACAGTCGCGTGGCTCCGCGACTCGACCGCAAGAAGGTGACTAGCGAAACTGAGAGGTGAGTCTTCTGTGGGGGGACTCCGCTTTACTCATGCCGTCACCCTCCCTTGTCCACAGCGCACTATAAACCGAGAGGAGCTTCTCAAGCAGGCAGAGTCGGTGATGCAGGATCTGGGAAGTTCCCGGGCAATGCTGGAGATCCAGTATGAGAATGAGGTATTGCATCGTCCTGCAACCCCTGTGGAATCCCCCCCCCCCCCCCCCCCCCTCCCCCCCCCCCTCCTGTTCTGGCCCAGTCTCACCCTCGGTCCTGGCTCTTTCAGGTGGGCACTGGGCTTGGCCCCACGTTGGAGTTCTATGCCCTTGTGTCCCAAGAGCTGCAGCGTGCAGACTTGAGTCTCTGGAGAGGAGAGGAGGTCACACTGGCTAACCCCAAGGGTATGTGCTTGAATTGGAGTATGCGTTCTGTCACTCTAACCCCGTGATTTTTCTGAAGGCCTTGTGTTGCACCCCTTGTCCTGCAGGAAGCCAGGAAGGAACCAAGTATATCTTCAGTTCCAGAGGCCTGTTTGCTGTCCCCTTTGGCAGGACCACCAAGCCAGCACACATGGCAAAGGTCAAAATGAAGTTTCGTTTCCTGGGCAAGCTGATGGCCAAGGCCATTATGGACTTCAGGCTGGTGAGTCTTGAGTATAGTTGGACGTAACTTGCATGCAGATTTGAAATGTTCTTAGTGCTGTTAAGCTTTGGGCTGTTCTGGGTCCCATGGCGAATGCATGCATGTGTGTAGTGCATTTGGGGTAATGTCTTGATGTTTTTCCCCAGCTCGACCTGCCCCTCGGACTCCCCTTCTACAAGTGGATGCTACGGCATGAGTTGTCCATCAGCTCCCACGATCTGATGAACATCGACCCTGCTGTTGCCAGATCCATTCAGCACCTGGAGGACATAATCCGCCAGAAGAAGCAGCTTGAGCAGGACAGATCGCACGTATGTCTATACACCCAACGCCCTCCCCAGATGTATGTGTCCGTGTTTTTTTTTTCTTTAACAGAAGCTTGTCCCCTTAGACTCGTGAGAGCCTGCAGTTGGCCCTGGAGAGCCTGAACATGAATGGCTGCTCTGTGGAGGACCTGGGTTTGGACTTCACCCTGCCGGGCTTCCCTCACATCGAGCTGAAGAAGGGTGGCAAAGACTTGCCTGTAACCATCCACAACCTGGAGCAGTATCTCAGGGTGTGTCAGTCACCTGTATTTCTGTTCTATCTCATTGTTACTGAACTCAACTCTGTCTCCTGCCATTTTTCGCTGTTAAATTTAAGCACATTGCCCATTACCCTTTGTAAAATCTAAACTGCAATTTAATTAAATTTAAGCTTTCAGCCCAGTTCAATCCTAAATGCATCTTGTTTGTTGGCATCTTCCACTCGATGCTTTGGCATACTTGGTGGTTTAGTGAATCATTCACTCTCTTCCACTGGAAGCTGTTAGTCTTTCCCAGCCAGTGTCTATGGCATCCTGGCTACTAAAAACCATGAGCCTTTCTGCAGACCAAAATCTGCCAAGTGTACAGGCAAGCTGTTAGCTGTGGTTAAATTTAAAAGTTCCTTCCTGTCATGTACCAATATGGTTCCATTTCCCAGCCTTTGACCATCTGTCCTGCGTTTCCCGCTTCCCCTTTAGTTGGTCGTCTACTGGACGTTGAATGAAGGGGTCTGTCGGCAGTTTGAATCTTTCCGAGAAGGGTTCGAGTCGGTCTTCCCCCTACATCACTTGCAGTATTTTTACCCTGAAGAGGTGAGCTACCCTCGTTCCCTTGGCCCGCTGGCTCTTGTGGGACGTCGGGTCCAGTCCTGCTAACCGTGACTTTGCTTTCAGCTGGACCAGCTGCTGTGCGGTAGCAAGTCTGAGACGTGGGATGTGAAGACGCTGATGGAGTGCTGCCGGCCTGACCACGGTTATACCCATGACAGGTACCCGCCAGTGCTCGCAGGCTCCTCACTTACAGAGCATGCGTGTGCGTGTCCCCACTAACCACATCCGCGCGTGTCTGTCCACAGCCGTGCCGTCAGATTCCTGTTTGAGGTGCTCAGCAGTTTTGATGCAGAGCAGCAGAGACTGTTTCTACAGTTTGTTACTGGGAGCCCCAGACTGCCCGTGGGAGGTAAGACTTCAGCAAGCATTACAGTGCAGCCAGTTAGTTAAATCATGGTCTGCCAAACACTGTACAGCAAGCAGGGTGCACCTACTTAGCTGGGTAACCTTTGCTGTGAGTTAGTGTAAGATTTAAGAGCTTCTGTTATTACAGGAAAGTGTAACTCTATGTAAGATCAGTCATTTTTACCTCTGAGTGTAGAAATTTAAAAACTGAATAGAATTTCCTGTAGAATTGAGCTAGCAGTGTTCCCCGCCAGTCTGGATTTAGGTGTTCTCGTTCCCTCTTGGTGTCCCAGGATTCCGAAGCCTCAATCCGCCGCTGACCATAGTACGCAAAACGTTCGAGGTGACTGAGAACCCAGACGACTTCCTGCCCTCGGTCATGACTTGTGTTAACTACCTGAAGCTGCCCGACTACTCCAGCATGGAGATCATGCGGCAGAAGCTGCTGATCGCGGCCCGCGAGGGACAGCAGTCCTTCCACCTCTCCTGATCTCACTGTAACATTCAATGCCTTCTACAGCCACAGAGAAAATCATGCTCCTTTAGGGGTTCTCCTTTTTCCTTTTTTATACTCCGCTACATTCAAGGCGATGTGTACAGCATTTTTTTTCCCCCTTTTTTTTTTGTTTTTGTTTTTGTTTTTGTTTTTTTGTCAGAAAGCAGCTTGCAGATATTGACACGCGTGCGCACACACACAGACACACGGATCGTGTGTTCTGTTCCCTTCTCAAACTGAAAGACGTTATATGACCCATATAATTTAAAATGTGTATAAGTCTAGTATCTTGGGTAATGTTTAAAAAAAAAAAAAAAAAAAAGTAAAGAGAAAAATCTGGGGTGACATTTTAGGGCTTTCATTGCAGTGTGATATTAAAAAGGGATCCCTTTCCACTGAATGGTGATTTTTGAATGATGAGTTCACACAAGCTCTTCCCATTGACCAAGCTAGGCTTTCCTTGGCTCCAAAGATCATTTGTACAGACTTAATTCTTCCCATCTTGATAGATTAGCTTGATCTCATTATTCATTCCCTTTCAGTTGTGTCCATTTTACAATATGTTCTGTATCATAACCCACAGCCTTTGTGTGAGTGTGGTGGAAAAAGAGATCCAGTTCCCAGATGGCAGGTAGTCATGGGAATGGTTTGGAGAAGGCTTTTACCAGAGTTTGTGTTCTAACCTGAAGTTGAAGTGCTTCAGCTCTGTGTTGGCGTTTATCCACTGTCTTGGATGGGTTGACAGTTTTTGCTTCTGTTTGCAGGAGTTCTGATGGCCGAGTACAGGTCAAGGTCCTCCACGCCCATACCGTAGCTGAGCACATTTGGCTGGTCTCATTTTATCGTTTGACAGCCAGATAGCATTTCATTCATTCATTTACGGAGTAAAGTTTATATGCAGTTTCACACCTGGTTTGAGGTGACATGGCTGCTTTTTTTCTATTTCCCCCCCTCCCCCCCCCGCTCTAGATTTTTTTGCACTGCTGGCTTGGAACAGACTGTGGTGTGCACCTGCAGTCTTAGGCCAGCGAGGGCTGCACCAAGCTCTCCTGGCCAACCGTTCATGTGCTGGTTTCTAAGATCTGCAATAATTTACTGCATCAGGTTCTTGTTTTTACCTGAACATAAATAAAGTAACTGTTTGACTCATCTTTGTTCATGTTTAGAACGTTGGTTCATTGTGTTACTCCTCCCCTTCTGTGTGTGTCTGCTCATGTGATGCTGGACAAGCCGTGATTTCCTGGACATGAGAAATTGTGTAACACTAAGTGGAGACACCGGAGTATGACACAACTGTGCTGGGAAGATCACTGTAATGGTGACCCCCTCCCCCCAAGCCACACCACTGCAGCCCCCTCTTGTCTCCTGGAGCGCTGACGGTACAGCTGACGCTAGTGTCGTACCTCAGAGAACCACATAAACATCCTGTTCTTTCCTGGTCTTTACTTCTGTTTGATTGCTGTGTCACTTCATTGACTTTGGATGTGTGTGGGGTTGGACCCAGTTCATCCTGCTGCTGAAATGCTAGAACTGGGTGAAGCCTCACTGGATACACGCCAAGGCATGACATTTTGGATTCTGCTCACCCTGGACTACACGGATGAGGGAGGGCCACAGCTGTAAAATGCTTGTGAATGCAATTCCAGTAGCTTGAAAAGCAGCAAGTATGTTTTTCCCCTCAATCCTCGGGTGTAGGGATGAGCTTTAAGTCATTAACTGACGAGTGCAGCAGTTGCCTATGACTTCATTGGTCTCTCTGAAATGCTGACTTCAGCCATGCCTATGTGAGACAGGTAAGATTCCTGCTAGCTGTAGTCTTAGTGGAGAAGACCTTCAGCTAAATGAACATGGACTGAGACCATAACAAAGCCAACAGAAGACTGTCACTGAGTTTGTTCCTCACTGAAGAGAGACATTTATCACCCATATTAGCAAACTTGAGTCCAAGGGGATGTTTTGTGATTGTTCTGTGTTTGCTCAATCTTAGGGTCCACCAATTTCAGTTGCCCTTGACCAAAAAAAAAGCCATACACATTTGCACTTGCAAGCTTTATTTTCATTGTCTCCCCCTAATATAGATGTTTCGGTGATGGGCTGGACTTGCAAAACAATAGTATTGTTTTTCCACAGGGACAAGACCACATCAGTACTGTATTTTATTTTGATACATACTGTAATAGTACAGTAGTAATTAGATGTGTGAATTTATTAAAGGAATATTGACGATAAGGCTGTTGTGGTGTCTCCCTGGGACCTGTGGTATGGGTGTCATGGGTGGCTACTCCACATCTGTAATGCTCTGCAGTGATGCTACACCGTGCATTTTCGCCTAAGTTCAGTGAAGTCCACACGGCCCTCCTTGAGGTTTGAACTGTCTCCAGTTCTGCATTGAAGTTCGTTTTTGACACTGCTGCTGCTTTGTGATGACTGATAAGGTGTCACAATGTCTGCTTTTACTATAATGTGTATAGTGTAACAACTCAAAGATAAAGTTCAAACTAAAGCTGCTTTCCAAAGATGCTTTGTGAGGACCTGCTAGGTTTACACTGATGAATGGTGATAATATGCCTCAAAAATGACCCAGTGAACAGGTTAGAAAACTAAGAACCTTTAGACTCGTGAGAGTTGCGACCTGCCTATTGAGATAGTACATGGGCAAAAGTATTGGGAAACCTGGACATCCCATTCTAAATCCATAGAGATCAGTATGGAGTTGACCCCCCCTTTGCAGCTATAACAGCTGCCACTCTTCTAGAAAGGCTTCCCATATCCCCCTGAGACCCAAGGAAAAAAGTGTCCTTCAATTTTAGGTTATTTGTCTTTGGAGGAAATAAGACATCTTACAATTTAGATTTTTTCAAATTTATTTTTAATTTCACAGCATGTCCTCTTTAGTGTACAACAGGAATAAATATGTTTCCTAACATCAGTGAAAAGATGCAAAAATAAAATGTCCACTACAATGGACAAAAATGAATGGGTGGGGTCTCAGGAGGATAAGATATTGGAGCGCGTCCATGGGAATTTTTGCCCATTCATCCAGAATAGCATTTGTGAGGTCAGGCACTGATGTTGGATGTGAAGGTCTGGCTCACAATCTCTGTTCTAGTCCGTCCCAAAGGTGTTTAGTGGGTTTGAGGTCTGGGCTCAGTCAGGGCCAGTCAGGTTCTTCCACAACAAACTCACCCAATTTTCGCTTTTTCCAAAATTATGTGAAATATAAAGAATGTTGAAAATAACGCCCTCCAACAAGTATGTAGATATTTGCTGCCACCTAGTGAAAATTGGACGGTATCATAACATTTTTTCAATTCCAATAAAATAAAAAAATACGGATTGTGGAAAAGAGCTGTAGTATTGTTACTAAGTATTTAGGCTGGTGGATCTCACATGTTAAATAGCTAGTTAGTTAGAAATTCGGGTAGGGAAACTGCAGAGTAATTTAAGATATAATTAAGAAAAGGTATACACAGAACGCTGTTATTGTTCGTTGATGTATTTATTTACTTACTGCATAGTCTGACGGAGGCACTCGAGAAAGAATTTAATCGTACTGTGTATAATGACAATACAACCTTGAAACCAGCAATTGATCCTTAACATTATGGGCTTAATTAACATTACATTTTAAATTAAGAAATATGTTCATACATGCTCAAAAAATGTATGACGAAGCCACTGTTTTATGCTTATATGTGAACAGTATGGATAACCCCGCAAGAATTCGGACATCAAAGAAACCTTGCATGGTCGGTTAACCAACCTAAACCTGCTTAACTCCACCCCTGAATCACGCAGGGACGTTGTGCGTGTTGGGGACGTCACCTTTACGTCAACGGCGCATCCGGGAGTCTCGTAGTTTGACGGGTAGTCGTCATGGAAACGCTCTCAGTTAGCCGCCATTTTGTCAGTTGCTATTTCTTTTTTTTCACTTATTTGCCTTCCTGTCGGAGTAATACTCGTACTTTTCTGCGTTTATGGCAGTCGTGTTTTAGGAATGCTTTGGCGACCCTGGACTGGGACAGCTGAGAGGCGTGGCGCTCACTGAGGCGGCGCAGGCTGAGCGGTTTGTCCGGGTGTCCGTACCGCCGGGCCGGTCCGCTGCGCAGCTTGGCAAAGCGCGCCATTTTATGAGATTTCCGACCACCGGTTCGCGAAAACGGGCTTTTCACCCGAAACGGGCTCTGCCTTCCGCGCCATGCTTACGCTTTCCGTGCCCCACGCACAGGAGTGAGAAGCCTGCGGTTGTGCATGCTTGGCGGGCAAGCCTATCAGCTGCCCGGAAGCACCGCGGAGTCCAGGGGCGACGGCGGCGATGCGGGGACGTTAGGCGGACGCCGGCTAACCAGCGGGGCCGGCAGCTGCGCGGCGGCGCTGGATGCTGCAGCACCTCGCCGCGGCTCTCGGTCCGTAAATGAGGGTCGCGCCTAAGGTGAGTCTGTCCGCATGACGCCGCGAACCGCCGCACGACACGCCGTAACGATCCCACCGAGAGCCCCGATACCGGTGCCATAAGGAGTCGTAGCCGGACCACGCTTCTGGCGTACCGCGGCTAGATCAGGACGCCGGGCATTTCCAGTCCGTCCAGTACATCCCGTGGCTCTTGACGGTAATGTGCTACAGATGGTACTGGGAGCGGAATGCCGGTCGGAAGCGCATTGATCATTCATTCATCGAGGTTTCGTAAATGTAACATTTGACAGCGCCGTGATCAGGTAAACAGTTTAAGGCAGAGCGCTTTGGTTTTACTGTGTCTCCTGTCAGTTTTCAAGGGCAGCTGGAGACGTCACTTCTCACCGTCTGCCGTCGTTTTTTGTGCGTTTCTGCATGGGTGTTTAAGCTAATGGTTTTTTGGTGGGCTGCTGAGATCTTTGTGAATGCTTTCGATTGCATTTCTAGCACAATGGGAGAAAAAAAAATCAAAACTAGATTTTCGTATGGAGAAGACATCTCTGCTTTGCCTCATATGGGAAAATCGTTTGCAAAATCGCGAGAAAATTTTAATTCCTCACATATGTCTCCTGAATTTATGTGATGATTTTAAATTATTGGAAATTTGTAGCATATGTTGCTTTTGCAATTTATATTACGGTCCTTGGAAATTAAACCTTTCTGATACCTTCATAGTCCGCCTGTCGTTCTGTTACCTGAATGTGTACCCGTTAAGCACATAGGGACTTACCGTTACTGCAGTGTGGTTGGTGTTGTATGTGCACACTTATGATGCACTGGTATTTGATAATTGATAAATGGGTCAATTTTGTTTCGCCACCCTCTGGGCAAAATATCATTGTCATTATATGGCAGTTTTCCCTCAGGTTAATATGCCATTGAGAGCAGATTGTACTCTCCGCAGTCATGGGTTTTTAATGCTTTGTCTGTGTTATCTTGCATCCAATGTTTTATGGGAAAAACAAATCTTGTTTCTATCAGCCAGGTTCGACTGAAAGACTTCTCTCCACTCAGCTTGTTTCACCACCAAGCTGCAGTTAATGATGGGAAAAATGAGGCTTCAGAAACCATAGTGGGTGGGCTCGTCGCATCCCATCAATCACTGCCTTTTCTGTCCAATAGTCAAGCCAGGCAGCATTTGACAGAGCATTGTAATCCCACCCACTGTGGTTTTTGAAGCCTTGTTGCAAACTTATCGCTAGTGACACTTAATTGGGAATAGTGAGTAACTGCTTTATTTGCCTGCCTGTTGTTAGACAATGACAATTTAATAAATAAATGTAATGCCCTTTTAGTAAAAACTAATGTATGTTCATCGATAGTCAGGATATATGTGCTGCAGAACCTCTATGGTTGTAGCATGGTGGACATCTTTTGGTCTTTGTAGTCCGACTGTGTGATGTTATTATTACTGTGTCCATCCATCATCCAGCCGCCACAGACCCGAGGCAGGATTCAAACCCACAAACTTGGAGGCCTGAGGCAACGGTGCTACACACTGTGCTGAGGCATTGGTTTGTGAGTTTTTAATCTTCAGGATATTTTTTTTGTTCGTTTGTGATTGTAGGAACAATTGAAATTGCTGAGAGGAAAATATCATCTTGCATGGTCCCAGGCTGGTCTGAGCTTCCCCGTACAATGTTTACGCACCCTATTCCACCACACAACAGCCGGCCTTGGGTTTTAATCTACTCCATCAGATTTTACGTTGTTGTCTGTGTTCTACATTCTTTTGTCAGAGTAAATTGTCAGTACTTTGATTAATTTAACGTATATTAGCACTTTTTTTTTAACCAAACATGAACACTCAAAGTATGCTATTAAATGTTTTTTATTTTTTTTTAAACAATCCTTTTGTTTGCATCCTTTTGTTCCAGTAAATCAACAGAGCTCTTGGCTCTTTTTGGATCTTGTAATCAGAGTACTTCCTCTTTGGTTCCACTCGTCACATAACTGTAACCCCAAGCCTATGAAAGCTGGGCACCTCTGAGTTGTGGTTTTCTGTCATTCTTCTTTCAGGATGGTGTGAGATTTGTGATCGTTGAAATAAACGCTCTTTTTGTTCTTGTTGCAGCTTTTCTGGGCTGATTACTTCAGTATTTTCACCTGTGATACAGTACTGATGATATTTATCAACTTTAGATAAATGAAGACTTGCATAATATATATATGTATGTTGTAGACCCTCTCTGGTATGTGCACATTAACGGGGTGTGTAAGGGAGTAAACACACTTATTTTATCTGTATTTGTCTAGTATTGTTAGGATCTTTTTGGGGGTTTTCTTTTAATCACAGTTTTAAAAATAACATTTCATGGTTTCAATTGCTGCTGTGGAATTAGGATTTCCTGTATTAGGTATATATAAGTCATAGGTATGTATAAGTCAGAATCCATGTGATGTCATCAGAATGGCAGGTAAATCTGTTTGTGTGACGTAGATCATTTTTGAAATTAGGTCCACAAAAAGTTCACCTAGTTATGATTACTGTACATTATGACATTAGGAATGTTCTTTCCTGAAATATATTTCAGTATTTGAACAAAAAAAAAGATATTGTGGAAGTAGTAGCTCTTTTCAATAAATAAGAGAAATGTGAGTTTATACCACCTGAGCTAGGTAACCAAGGGCTTTGTAATTAGTGGTCTAGTAGATTGACATTTGCAGATGATGCAATAGGACAAAAAGGTGGACTGTTTTAAGCATTGTGAGCCACCTGCTTTAATCGAGGACAAATCTAGATCTAGATTCAGCTTTATGGCTAAATAAAATGGTAATGAATAGTAATAGACTCACTGTGTTTCCATATTAACTATAATTAGCAATTATGATTGGTGGTAGATGTGTCTGTAGTTTGTCATGGAATACGATCTAGGTCAAATTGCTGGATACTGAACATGTGTTTAATAGAGGGGATTTATAAATGTATTATAACGGTATTTTCATGTGGATTATCACCTTAAAGATATTATTTGGAGCTGCAAATGGAATGTTGCAAAATATCTAGGTTATTATTATTATTTTTTTTTTTATAATTTCTTATTTATTTTTCTTTAACCTGGGCTCTAAACTTAGGTTCCCCTGAGAAGTCATCAAATGCTGATAGCTACTTGACTTTTGCTTGTCTGCTGTCTTTGTATTTCCTGTTTTTGCCCGTCTTATTTTACCTTATAAAAGGTATATTATTTTATGTTTTCCGGCTCAATGAAATTATTACACTTTCGTTAACTCTAATCTGACTATTTAAATACACAACAAAACAGCATTTAGTCACAATAGTCATTTACAGTGCTGCTAATATTTCAGACTCCAAATGAGCTAAATCTCATTTACAGCACCTGTTTTTTGTTTCATTTCTACAAAAACACTTGTGACATTTCTGTGACCTATACCTTGTCACTGTTGATGGGTTAAATATGTCCTAATTGAGAAATGCTATTCTGGACCTGAAGTGTGATATTCAATGCTGGCTCCTCCTCATCCTTAGATATTGCAGTAGAAGTAGAAATGGAAATGGTAAACACCCTTTAACTAGTACACTTGAGAGAATCGGTTTGATAAAAATCACATTTCAAATTAGTTACTTTTTGTTATGGACTTGCTGAATTGCATATTACTTTTGCTTTTGTAATTCGTTTAAATTATTAAAGAAAATCAAATGGTACATTAGCAAATAAGGAACTGATCTTGGATTCTAAATATTGTAGGTCATTCTTCTCATGTTCATATGCTGTCTGTTGTACCTTTGAGCAAAGTACTGCATAGGAATTGATTCAGTGAATTTTTTAGGTATATTAATGGTGCATTGCAAAAATTTGCAAATAAATGTAATAATATACTACAAAGTTAAATAGATACTGGAAGTTCTCCTGTTACAGAAAGAAAAGGTGATTGTTCTGTGTTTATCCCACTGCTCTGCTTTCGTAAGTTTGTTTCTTCTTGTCTCTAGACAAATGCTGCTCCTGCATTGGGTTGCTTTTTTCTGCTGGGAACTAATGTGTGAAAAGCAGCTTGAGAATATGACAATGTGCAATTTCATTTCTCGTTTATTACTTGTTTTCCTATTGGATAATAAGTGGAAGCTCTGCCCTGGCAACAAAAGTAGGTTATTTGCATTCTGCCTTGTGATTGGGTGAGTTTGTCAAAGACCAGGCCAATGACATGAGATCTTACTGGTGGTAGGCTGTTGTAATTAGGTGCTGTTGCTGGGGTTCAGAATAGTGGTTACTCTGTGTGACTCCTGCATTGTTGCCTGGTGAAAGATGTTGATAAATGCGCCTTTAATGATCTGCAAAATTCACACTTGCGGCATATAGTCCGATTATAACACAGAACTGAAAAGATTTGATTTATGGACCAGAAGCTTTCTTGTACAGAACACTCCTTTGAATTGGATTTAATTATACCTATACTAAATAATTACACGGATGACTCGAGTAGCTCCCATTCCTGCAGTGTGTGTCAGCCGATGCGTGTGTCGGTGTGTGAGCGGTACGTCGCGGCTGTTTGCGGGAGTTCCGGGAGCAGGTCACCGGCTTGGCCCTCCGCTGGCTCTGGGGCTGCTCGCTCCGGCAGCATCAGACAGCAGCTGCTTTCACAGGCGAGTCCATGCAGTTTTTGGCTCAGTAGAGCGCCGTGCTTTCTGCACGCTCATGGAACGATTTGCTCGCGCTTTAACAGGGTGTTTTATAATGACATCAGATGTTTTCCATCGTTTTTTTTTTTTTTTTTCTGTTTTCAAATCTAATTTTTTAATCTGTATGACCCCTGGAAGGCTAAATTTGTTTCTAAACCCAAAACCGGCCTGAATCCAGCAGGGTTTAAAAATATGTGTACAGGAATAATTTCACTGAGGTCATTTCTGCTGACTCACACTTACAACCCGTTATATTTCAGGAGGGGAGACTTCAGCATGCAAACCCTCATCCGTGCGGCTTGCACCTTCGTTCTCTTTCCATGCCGCTGGGCCCATGCCTTCACAGATGGCCCACTCCCAGCCGCAGTGCAGTGAGCACCTGCTGTGTGTGGGGGCCTCTGGGACGGAGCTGTCATACAGTGAGCCGGCCACAGACTCCCAGGTACCTGCACTCACGTACGGGGGACACCCCCTTTTGGGGCAGATGATGCTTTGTCTTTCGTTTGTTTATTATAATGCTGCTTTATGCTGGTATGTGCATATTATTTCATCATTTGATATTACTGTGGTATTTCTGTGTGTTTTTTTTTTTTTTTTAATTGGGAATTTAGATGGTTCACAGTGAAGTATGTGTATAATGACATTAAAGCATTAATGCATTTTCCCTTTCTGTAAATGGGTGTGAGCATTGGAGGGATGTAACAGCACCCTATTTAAAAACGCAACAGTGTGTGTTTAAGTTTTAAGAGCTATTTTTAAAAAAACAACTAGCGACGGTATTTGCATGGTAGCCGAGGAGGAGGTTAAATGTGTGGTTGTGGGGAAGCTGACCACGGCTTCGTGTTACAGGGGCTCATGCCACAGTGTTTCCGTGAGCCGGCTTCAGCTCCCTTGAGGAAACTGTCCATTGACCTGATCAAAACTTACAAGCACATCAATGAGGTAACGGCATTTTCCACACTCGCTATACCCGATTTATGCACCGTCTCCTTTTTTTGTAAGTTTATAATTATGTGTGATGCATCTGTTAGGCTGTGGCTTGTGTGAAGCATGAAACTTCAGTCACCTGACCCCCGTCGCCTTTACTTTTTGACATTGAGGTGTACTATGCAAAAAAGAAGAGACGGTATCAGCAAGGCCGAGGCGATGACTCCAGTCACAAGAAGGAGAGAAAAGTGTACAATGATGGCTACGATGATGACAACTATGACTACATAGTGAAAAATGGCGAGACATGGATGGACCGCTATGAAATAGATTCTTTAATCGGCAAAGGCTCATTTGGGCAGGTATGATAATTCAGTGTAATGCAAACTAATGAAATGTTAGCCATAGCTTGGCCTTTTAGATTAAATATGGCTCCACCGGGACCTGCTAAAGTATTTTCCGGAATTTTGTACAGAATAACTTGAGGATTACCACAATATAGGCATTGATATAATCTCTGGATTGAATTTTGTTTTGTTTTGACCCTGAGAACAGTGCAGTTTTAGGTCTGGTTGACTTGAGACAGAACAGGTCTGAGTGTTTAGCGTCTGTAAAACGGTTGGTGTACTTTCTTGGGACCTCCTCGTCTCTCTGTCTCCTTGATCTCTCTGCCTTGGTTAAGTGCAGTTTCTCTCTTTGCTGTTAGGTTGTTAAAGCCTATGATCGCGCAGAGCAGGAATGGGTCGCTATTAAGATCATCAAAAACAAGAAGGCTTTTCTCAATCAAGCTCAGATCGAAGTACGACTTCTAGAGCTGATGAACAAACACGACACGGAGCTCAAGTACTACATAGGTATTGCTGTTTGTACATGTCACTAGGATGGCCAAAATACAATAATGAATTAACTTAATAAATGTAAACTTCGCTGTTTTCCTCTTATACTTTATTTTTTTTTCTTTTCAGTCCACCTGAAGCGCCACTTCATGTTTCGAAACCACCTCTGTCTGGTGTTTGAGATGCTGTCCTACAACTTGTATGACCTGCTGAGGAATACCAACTTCCGGGGCGTCTCTCTCAACCTGACCCGCAAGTTTGCCCAGCAGATGTGCACAGCGCTGCTCTTCCTGGCTACGCCTGAGCTCAGCGTCATCCACTGCGACCTGAAGCCAGAGAACATACTGCTGTGTAACCCCAAGAGAAGTGCCATCAAGATTGTGGACTTTGGGAGCTCTTGTCAGCTTGGCCAGAGGGTGAGTTGGATGCACTTGTTTATGTAGTCTGTTAGCACAGAAGCTTTGCGTATTGAGATGTCTTTAACTGATGACAAATTGATGTGATGGCTCAACTTGTTTCTTAGATTTACCAGTACATCCAAAGCCGATTCTACCGCTCCCCCGAGGTGCTTCTGGGCATGCCCTATGACCTGGCCATAGACATGTGGTCTCTGGGCTGCATCTTGGTGGAGATGCACACTGGCGAGCCCCTCTTCAGTGGGGCAAATGAGGTACATTGTTTAACTGTACTGCCTAGATCTTTATGCGCACTAAAGAGCGTCATTGTCGGCTGTCCAGATGTCCAAATACAAGAGTAAAAATTCCAAATACAAGAGTAAAAATTCCTGCTACTTCATTAACAGCAGTATGAACTCATTAAATACTAGTTTCACTTTTCAGGAAAGGCATGTATACTATGTGTAGGGTAATAAAATTTGTATTGTGTAATCATTTGATGACTTGTTTCTGAATGAACACAAATCTATAGCCTAACCTGTAAAAACGAGAACATCCACTGACTGATAGAAGCTTTCATTATTGCTTCTCAAACTTGTGTCTATAATAATATCTAACATCACTTTCTCAAATCTCTACAGACAGATCAAATGAATAAAATTGTGGAGGTACTCGGTATCCCTCCCAGTCACATTATGGATTTGGCTCCCAAAGCCAGGAAGTTTTTTGAGAAGTTGTCTGACGGCACATGGGGTATGAAGAAGACCAAAGATGGGAAGAGGGTGTGTATCTGGCATCTGTCCTTTTGGAAGGTTACTGCCATATTTGGTTGGAGTTTTGGTGTTTGGTACTTGTGTGTTATTAACGTTTCTCTGCCCTGCAGTACAAGCCACCGGCGACACGGAAGTTGCATACCATCCTGGGAGTTGAAGTGGGGGGGCCAGGTGGCCGTCGGGCCGGGGAGGCCGGTCACACCGTCGCCGACTATCTGAAGTTCAAGGACCTCATCTTAAGGATGTTGGACTACGACCCCAAGAGCCGCATCCAGGCATATTACGCACTGCAGCATAGTTTCTTTAAGAAGACCGCAGATGAGGGCACCAACACGAGCACGAGTGTGTCCACCAGCCCGATGGACCACTCACAGTCCTCCGGCACCACATCCAGCGCCTCCTCTAGTTCAGGTGCTCCTGTGGGGGTGCGGGGGGGGGGAGTCACATTGTTCTAACCATTCTTCTCTTTTCAACATGGTAGCGTGCATCTTATAGGGAAGAACACCTCACACCATTCATACACACGCAGAGTCATCCAGACTGCCGCACATTAGGGAAATTCACCAGTTTAGCTGCACTGCATTTTTCACTGGCATTGGCATCGCAATCACGATCAGAATGACTTGTCTGTAGATCCAGAGGTCACTTATAAAATTATATAACTTATAAAATTACAGTGGAACCTCGGATTACGAGTAACGCGGTTTACGAGTGTTCCGCAAGACAAGCAAAGATTGTTTATAAATTTTGACTTGGAAACCGAGCAAGTCCTGGTTTACGAGCGCCAAGTATCATCAAAAATCATATGGCGCACCTTGTTTTTCTTGTTATTACGTGTGCTCGGCTTCAAAACAGGAAGTGCATGCGTGCGCTTCTTGTTTTGACGCCGAGCGCACGTTATCACAACTGAACCAATGGTTATTCACTTTCTCACGCTGCAGAATTGTGGGTAATCGTCTCCCATGCTCGGTCTCAGTCGGCATGCCTCACTCGTATAATCAAAATTTAGTAGAAAAGCACCACCTGAATAAGGGTGTAGCAGTGCGAGTGATGAATCTGTTTAACGACAATGCAATGTCCACATTTTTGTGAAATCGAAAAGGAGGCAAAAGAGGCTGTCATTGGATGGGTTTCTTGTTAAAGTCGCACAAACAGAAAAAGATTCCAGTGAGCCAACAGATAGCAGTGATTCCGTTAATTATAGTGAAAGTCGTCCTACAAAATAACCCTCCTCTTCTCCTCTCTCGTCTCCCTCACACCATCCACGATTCTTTTCAAAGGTAAAGCGCAGGTTAATTTTTTAATGTATTTTTACTTTATATTTTGTATTAATAATTTTTATATGAATATTTTTGAGTTCGGATCATATGAGTTTCCATTATTTCTAATGGGAAAATTCGCTTTCATATACGAGTGCTTTGGATTACAAGCATGTTTCCAGAACAAATTATGCTTGTAAACCAAAGTACCACTGTACATGCATTTTAGGAGTCCCGCCCTCAGTGTATCCCAGTACTGGGTATTATTTTGTATTTACTTGTACTCATGAATACCATAAAATACTTTCTTTCGTGTCATTTTACTCTTTTGTTTGCTCACTTGTATGCTTGCATGACAGCTCTGGATCTTTGTTTTCCTTAAGGAGGTTCGTCTGGTACCAGTACTGGTGGCCGAGCGAGGTCCGATCTGAGCCATCAGCACCCGCACAGTGGGCCCTGGATCAGCACTGGATCAGCTTTGGACCGCGAGAAGCTGTGTGGTCAGGTAAGTGGCTGTGCCTACTGGGAGAGCAACTGGCATCTTCTTTTTGAATCGCAGTCACTCCAGCCTCACTTTACCTCTGCCTGGCAGGTGAGGCAGACTTTCGCGGTTCCTGTGGCCTGGAAGGAGCCGGTCCCTGCAGAAACCCATCCCGTTCAGGAGACCAGCTTCCTTGTTCCTCCCAAGCAGCTTGCAGTGTTACAGAGCGCCCCCTTGAGGCCAGGTGTGGCAGCATGGCCACAACCAGGCCTCCTCTCGCCCACCAGTACCATGTCGACGCAGAAATCCATGGAGGTGGGGCAGGGCCATATTTCCATGGGCTCCTTGTCTTCCTCGGCCTCCTCTTTCTCCACGTCCTCCTCTTCCACTGGGAACCAAGGCAACCAGATCTACCAGAACCACCCCATTCCTGCCCATGCCTTGGACTTTGGCCAAAATAGTGGCTTGACAACGGGCCTTGGCGATTTCTCAAACTCCCACCCGGAGACTGCTGTGGCAGAGCACCCGCCGTACCCCCTAGGTGCAGCATCAGGACCTGGCCGGTTCGTTTCTGAGGCGTCCCACCTGGGCGGGAGGCCGGGTCTGCAGAGGGAGGATGCTGCTCTCCAGCCACACTCTGTGGTCAGCTCCTGAGTGTGAGAGAGCGAGGGAAATCTCACTGAACCATTACAACCCTACAGACATTTTTTGTCTTTTTTTAAAGATCATCTACTTGCAAAGATCTCTGTAATATGGCAAGAATTCTGCCAAGATGTGCATACACCATTTTATGTGGTACTCTGACTCCAGTTATTCCATAGAGGAACTGCCTCTGAGTTTGTGGCAGGTGTTTGTGTGTGTGTGTGTCTGTTTGTCTGTGCGAGTGACTGACTCTGTCTGTCTGTCTGTGTCAGTGATTGCTCTCCGTGGGTTAGATAATGTTAGAACCAGATCTGCTGCTGCTTTTTGGCAAAATATTACATCCTCACAGTTAATACTTGAGTGTGTATTCTGGGTTTTTGGCGTTCCGTTGGCAAGCGTTGCATCGACGGCCAGTCGCCGCTGTCAGAAGTGCACAGCAGTGACGTCCCAGCGTTTCCAGGGCATTCTCAGTGCCACCCTCTGGACCCCGCTGGCTCCGGGGTCTGAAAGACATGTTTGGGGGGGGTCTGAAGGGCAAAGTAATGGAGAGCCCTGGGTGACAGCCTGGGCGCAGTACGCAGAAGATGGAACAGACTCCTTTGCCCAGTCTAAGGACTCCTGAAAGTGGCCATTCCGACCAATGACCTGATGGCCTTACGCTGCTGGACTCAGAATGGATAAGATGGACGTTTATTCTTTTAGTACAGAATAGCTATCTTCTATTTTGACTGTAGAAAGCCCTTAATAACTTACGCAAATAGATAAAGGGTGTTTCAGAATGGTAATTTCAAGAGGCCTTTCTTTAAGATTTTATCTAACAGGGTCTTGTAAGTTCACGTGCGTGCCCTACATACGACTTCCTACGCTCCTGAAGGTCAGAGGTGGAATTTCCCAAGAAATGAAATTATATGACTGTGATTCTTCCTATTTGACATCCACCCCCCCCAAACACCCCATATTTCCATATATTTTCTGTTCGTTTTGAACATAATCTTGCTTATTGCTTTAGTGACTGCTTTCTGCCCTCATGATTATGCTGTGAATTTCGCAATATTTTGTTTCACCATCTGACAATTTTGTGGTACCAAAGCTGTTTTTTCTTTTTTCTTTCTTTTTTTTAAGCACCTAGATGTTTAATAATGATGTAGCAGTTGGGCACTTTGATGCAAAATTCATCCGGATCATTTTTTTCAGTACAGACCACCTGTATCTATTGCTTTAACAAAACAGAACTTGGTAAAATATTTGCTGTTACATTAGTACATTACATTAACTATTGGCTATGTCCCTGGAAATAAATGGTTATCAGTCATCACACAGCAAACCTCTGATAGTCCCCCTGGCCCCTTTACCAAATAATGCTCCACACCTTCCAGAATAACGAGGAAAAAATATGATGTTTCCAGACAACACTGGGCTGAAGACTGCTCATCTGGGCTTTAACTAGCTCTGCTGGTCGGGTGTATAACTGGCTTTGGTTGGGTCTTCTGTTTGTAAAACAGCACTGTCACTGAAACTCGCAGGATGGAGTAAAAATGTAAGCTTCATTTTTACATGTAAATTTTGTAGATTTATACAACCATGTGTTTTTCATAATTATTACTATACAGTAAGATATTCAGATGACCGCAAGACACGTCGGATGCAGAAACTCATTTCTGACTAAGTTTGTATCATGAGAAACATCTGTCTTGATTTATCCCCCCCTCCTCCGCGCCCCGCCCCGCCCCACCCCGCCACTCAGTTATTTATTTATTTATGTTCTCTTGCTGTTCATACTGCAGTTTCCAAACTTTGTTTTCAAGATTTTACTGCTGAGGGACTTACATTTTGCACCAGTGAAACTGAACTGAAGGGCATTCAACCTGCACATGCATCTGCTGTTTGATGCCCACAGTTTTTATAGATTTAAACAGAAATTATGTACGTTTTTATATTTTTAATAAAGGATTTTAGAAACGCACTCCATTTTTCCTGCTGGCATTTTTAATACATGTAATTCCTTTTGGAAACCAAGCAGTGGAGGAGCATGGGGGTTTTGCTTGGCGGGGTGATGATGCTGAGAGCGGGAGATATCAAGGGCTTCAGGACCAGCACGGCCTCTGGGGGCCCCCTGCCGCGCCTCCGGGGGCCCCCTGCCGCGCCTCCGGCCCTGACTCTCTCTACACGCCATTTCTGTGCTTGTAACACATGCAACTTTTTTTTTCTTTTTTTTTTTCCCTGCAACTTCAAAATTTGAAACTAAGTATGCAAAATGTCAAGCCTCCTTTCATGAAACTGTTTGTTTTTGTCTCTTGTGCACAGCTTGAATCCGTACGGGATGATGGTGTAACGGTAACTTGTTGATCTTAGCTGTGTTCATGGACTATACATAGTCTAAATAAGATGTTGCTATGTAAATAACCTTTTGTATGATTTTCAAATGGTTATATAAAAATGTTAAATACCTTGTTCTCTGACTTACTGTGTTGATTTCTTTTTTGTGTGCTTTTGCCATAATAATTCCTTCAGAGCGTACTTATACGTTTTCTTATGAAGTGTATTTTTCTGTGTCTATGTGAGGTTTGCATATTGTCCCCTTGATATACTGAGCATATTCTCAGTGTTACAGGTGAGTGCCTCTCTTCCCCAACCACAGGTAACTCTCACCCTTTGCCTAGCAGTAGCTGATATATGACGACCAGTTTAATGGTCTAACTGGCAGCTCGTTGGTGTCTCTCAGTTGTCTATAGAGTATCACTCTGACTGAGTGAGTGAGTCCTGTGATGACTGACATCCTGTCCAGAGTGTGTCCATACCTTGTGTCGCGTGGTTCCTGGGGTATCCTTTAGACATCCCCCCCCCCCGCCTCTTGACGCAGACCAAGATAATTTGGATGGATGGGCCCACAGCATTTCAGATTTAAGGGGTGTCTGTAATATTGAATGTGTATCTTCTTATCTATACATTCTCCATCACCGCATACGTGGTACGGGGGAATCTGGAGCCTATTCCAGGAGGCAGAGGCCCTCAGGCAGAGTGGGCCCTGGCTGGGGTGCCTTTGAAGGGGACACACTGACATGTCTGTGGGCATCACATTGGTGCAAGTGGCTACGTTGTCTCACACTACCAGCAGTGGGGGTTTGAACCCCATGCTCACTGTGTGTGTGTGAGTGTGAGATGTGAGAGTGCATGTTCTTTCTGTGCTGCAAAGATTTAGTTTTGCTTCTCTGATTTCCTCCCACAATCCAAAGATATGTGCAAAGGCCAATGGGAACTTTAAATTGCCAAATTGTCTGAGCCGTTGGCCATTGGTGGGTGGTCCCGTATTATAGAAGTGGGGGCGAAAGTTATCTGCCTCCTAATTGTGAAAATGCTGATTTACGATGCATGTAATAAAAAGATGTTGCACTCAGTTTTATCGTAGTGTAACAAATTAAATCTGATTTTTTTTACGAGTAAAACGTTTTGGCGGAATTTATTTACAAACGCAAGAAGCTGGTGTTACTTATAAGGCATGTAAATGAGCATTCCTTTTTGACGCCTGTGGGCTGATATAAGTCTTATCAGTACTTAATTCTCGAAAGCCAAACAGCGACAAACAGACGTTCGTGCCTCCTTGTGTTAGTCTTGGTATTGTTTAAAAAACGTAGTGTCTGGTTAGAGAGAAAGAAGGAGAACTTTTACTACGTTTCGATTGCTCAATTTACCATTGCGCGTGTATTACAGTATATGTCACGTCTGTCTTGGAGTCCGGCCTTAGTATGCAAGTGACAGTGACTGAAGAGTGGAGTCGCCTGCCATCACAGGTAACTCACCTGAACTGACACATTCTCAAAAATCAGTGTGCAATATCATACTACTACTACTACTACTACTACTAATAATAATAATAATAATTAAAAACTATTGCGGAGACAATAAAGTGCTTTTAGTGTGTTTTGGGTAAACGCACATACACTGTCTAATCATTGCTATAATGTAATCCAATACTGAAATGTACTATCGATTTAAGTGCAGTACTTTTATTTGCATTACGACGTATTTCAGTAAATCTGCTTCATTTAAGCCGAACAAAATTAAGCTCTTGTGTTGTATCCTACGTATAGCATCATTTAGAGATATCGGTCTTATTATGTTCGTCATACATCAATAATTATCCGCAATACTAATATAACATAACTGTTAATAACAGAATGACATTAGTTGTTCGATTTATTGGGTTCTCATTTTAGTTTGTGTTCAAATGCATGTTAACAATATAGGTGCTGACTAACTTTGCTTATTGATTGGTTGGTTAAAAAAAATCGGGCTTCATAATGTCCGAGAATATATAATAATCGATACTTTATATAAATAGAAGGCTTGTTGCTATAATGTCAATTTTGTCAATAGTGATCGAATTATCACTTGATATGTTAATTGCGTCTATTCAAATAATTATACTGAAACTAAACAATTTCGAATATTTTTAAGTGTATGAAATTTTGATGACTCTTGATATCCACACCTTGAAATATCTCTGTTGTGTCAGATCCTTCCAGGTCCATGTAAAGTGATGTATGCTTTGACCACCACAGTCTGCTCTCCAAATGGATGTGGATGTAGTGTATAAAAAAAATCCACACCTAACAGAATTCAGAAAAAAATTCTGAATATGTCCTTTGTAACCATAGAAACCAGGTTTATTCTTCAAGCATTGCATTTTTTTTTCTGTATTTTTATTTATACAATTAAAAAAATATGCGTTTTTAAATATGGTGCGTTTTTAGAAATCATACTTTGTGCAAAAAGGACAGATTATTTACTCTCTGCAGGAATTTAATCTTAGGCATTTTTTCTTACTATGTCTAAGTCAACAGAACCACTCCTAATAAGTCAACAGCTGCTACACTCAGCAACAAACATGAAAAATACTCACTGCTAGTCTTTCTTCATTTAAACTTTTCATATCTAAAAAATAATAAAAACGTGCCTGAATTGCTGGTCCCAGCATCTCAGAAACAGCCACCTTGCTGGGATCTCCCCTGTGTCTTCAGAATAGTGTTATAAAGAAAAAAAAATATCCTCAGCATTTCTGTAGGTGAAAGCACCTTATTATTGAGGAAGGTCACAGGAGAATAGCCAGACTTGGTAAAGCTAACAGGAAAGCGTCAAGTGAAACAATAACAGATTGGTACTATAGTGGTTTGTACCAGGGCCGTCAGAAGCATTTTGAATGTGGGGGGCAAACGAATAATTATGAAATGTGAGGGGACATGTCCCCCTCAGATTTAATGGCGGTGACGCCAATGGTTTGTAGAATGGCTTCTCTTAATGCATACAGTAGCTGGTCAACCCTGCCCTGCCTGGTACTATGCTATGGGTATCTAATAATGTGGCCACTGAGTTTCTGTGTATCTATCTTTATATGACTATTAATCTTAAGTGATAAATGAATGCCTATTAGTCATAGCTGTCAATGCTGTTGCTGGGTGCAGGTCATTGAGGGAGGGTTGGTTCAATAAAATAATTTAGAATGTGAGCACCACCCGTTTTATCCTGATCAATGTCAGATAGACTTATAGAGATTTGAATAGGAATCCAATGCAAAGTTTAAGTCCTCTTTGTGGGCGGATTGGTGGCTCTGTGCCACCCATTGGAAGGTTGCCGGTTCGAATCCCATGAATGCCAGCAGTGATCCTACTGTGTTGGGCCCTAGAGCAAGGCCCATAACCTGCGGTTGCTCTGCCCTGGGTATAATGTTAACCTATATATGGCCCCACAAGCAGGTCCTCCAACTTCCAGGAAAATTTGGGGG